AGACTGAATCAGTGGTCCTAGGAAAACAGCAATTTGTTTTCTCAAGTTTCAAGTAAATTCATTATGGCTCTATGACTCATGTGGTTTTAATGGCTTTACTGGTTTATTTATTAGACTGCCAAGAGGCAATTTATCTTGTTTACTTAACTGTCTAGTCACATGTTTCAGACTTTAATAAGATTTCATTATTTTAAAATACCTACTTTGAAAAGGGCTATTAAATAGTGGAATCTTCTATGAGATTATACTACTCCAAATTTCATCCATCAAACCTTTGCAATGTTACCACAACACGCAGCTGTGATGACACAGATCACAGCCTTGTTCAGTCCTTTCACCTCAGATATTACACAATCTACAGGTTCTATCAAAATACACACAGTGAGTGCTAAAAATCCTTAACACCCTCGGGGACAGATTTTAGTGCAGACTCACCAAAACCTTCAAGATGTGAAAACAGACAAGCAACTTGTAAAGTCAAAATTAACACTTTTCATCAGGAGACAATCTGACTCAAAATCTGGAAACAGCATCAAGGATTTAAATGGTTTTGTTAATTTTTTTTTTTTTGCTTCCCAGCAGCAGTACAGCAGATCATCAGCTAAGCTACACAAATACAGCCTGACTCATGAGTGCAGCACAGCTGAGCCCAGTCACACAAGAAATCCCTCAGAGCATTTCCATGCTCCTGTACCATTTCTCACTCACTTACCTTGAAAACTCTTACCTTTATTGCCAAGTGTAGTTTCTTCTTTTGCATGTTGCTTATTTAGTGATCATGTCACTATTTTACAGGGTTGAAGCGTTTAAAAAACTTAGATTTATTCTGGGTTTTTCATAGTATATAGGGTTACAAAAACAGGGGAACCTCATTTCTTCATTGTTTGCACTGTAGGTGACTTTGATCTGCCATTGTGGGGGCTCTCTTCCACCACAAAAACCATAGCAAACTATGCATAGGGGTAATAATGTTATAACATTCTCTAAATATTAATAAAGAGGAGAAAAAAAACCTCAGATTTCTAATCTATCCAGGCCCTTCAAATAAGTTTTGTTGCTTTTTCCCCTCAATGAACTGTACTATCTTTAGAGCCTTATCCTATTGCAGTGCACAGAAGGATTTTCTGTCTTTTCAGTGTCAAGGACTGCTTTATTTGAAAACAATGAAGTTTCCTTAAAAATCCCCAAATTAGAAGAACACCAAAATATTTAAAATGCACAATATTTTTCCAAAGCCAACCAGTTCAGATCCCTGGAGAGCTCATTCAGTTATTTTCAGTAAAACATGCTCAGACTATTCCAACTCTAATATGGTGCATCTTGTTTTTACTGAATAAAATGCTTACAGGATACAGTCAAAAAAGAAATAAAACTTGCCACAATTTAAATGTCACACATGGCAAAACCAGAGGTAGCTTTTAGAAGTACTCATGCTGAACAGAATTTCTGAGTTTCTTTTTGGTCAGAGCAGCTTGTGTGTAGCATGAAGCTGCAAAGGAAACTGAACCAATGAAAATTTGAAAGGGTCTAGTCTAAGACTCCTCTTTTGGGAAAGTTCTTTTAAGGAGATTAATTTATATAAAGGTTTTATTAACAGGCATTCAGAAAATATGGATGACTGCCATGCCTTCCAATCAGTATTAGAATAAAGGCAATTAGCTAAAGAACTTTTGTGATGGCTTAGTACAGCTTCCTTCTGGAAGCCTCTGTCAGATATGCAACTTAGCCAGGTTTTAATATGGTACAAACTAATAGAAATTAGGATAAATGCATGGAAACTGGAGCTTGCAGCAAGTAGCATCACGGACAAGGCTCACTGTGGTTACCTACTCTGTGTGAGGCAATATTCCCGGCACAGTCCAACAGCTCCAAGAGCAGTTCTTGGGAGCTGCAGACATGGCAAATCTGCTTCTTGGCAGCCCTCGTGCAACCCTGAGATAGCATAAAAAAGTGATGGGGCAGAACAACATGAATTCTCACATCAGTTAAGTTTCACAAAAAAATACAGCATGACTGAGCTGCTTAATGCTGACACAAGATGATATTTTTTCCCTTTTTGATTTTCTTCTATACTTCCTTCCTAATCTGTTTCTGTTCCTTCTTAATCTTTATTGCAAGGCATAAGCTCTGCTGAAGTAAACAATGGAAAATGCGAGGGAAAAAAAAAATCAAGAAAAAGAGTCTAAAGGCTGAAATGTGCTGAGTTTGGTTACTGTCTCTCATATGAGACTTAAAATAAGTTCAGTCCACTCCAGAGTCCACTTTAGGAGACTTTACCTGCAGGGTTTGTTATCACCAACTATATAGAAATTAGATTCTTGGGAGATTTCTTAAACAAAATAGTTAAATTACATATTCATATGTTTGGAAAGCTTTACTGCATCACACACATGAACTACATATTCGCTCCATGAATCCCACTGTGTCTTGTACTTCCAGAAAGTGTTTTGGTCTGATGAATAAATAAATGTGCAGTTTCTTTAATCTATGCAGCACCACTGGATGTATGCTGAAGCATCCCAGGAAGGCAGCATGTGTTACAAATGTCAGGCTTTCCCTCAGACAAAGCACTGCCTTACCCTTCTGAAATAACTGGACAAACCCAGAGTTGAAATCCTGGTTTCTGTTTCATTTATGACAACTGCTCACCAGCTTTCCACCAGCTCACAGTGCAACTCGTGCCTCAGTGTCTCATTAAGAATCTCTCTAAAAAGAAAGGGGGGAAAGATGGCTGATGAAGTACCAAGGCTCCCTTGCTGCCTTTTAGCTGAAGCTCACCAGACACCCACCAGCAGACATCTTCAGCTGCATTTTAAAACATATGGCCAGTTATTCTGATGGTTTTTTACGTGTGACTTCTGCACCCTTTAATATTAAAAAGCAACAACAAAACCCCAATGTGTGGAAATAAGGAAACTGAGAGCTTGCCTGCAGTTCTCAACACAGCTCCTCTCTTTAGAGGGTGTCCAAAGGGTGACAATCTCTAGTGACAGATGAGATACAGAGCAGACAGGGGCTCTATGTGTTTAAGCAGAGGTTTCTCAGGCAGTGACAGTCTCCTCCTTTGCAGAAGAGACTCTTTTTGTGAAGCAGAGCTGCTCAGTGAGAATAAAACCATGCTTAGTTCCACAAATTGAAAATTAATCATCATAATGAAGTCTCAGAGCCAGCCCCATTCCTTGGCACATTCCATCACCTCTGGGATTACACAACCATGCTTCTACAAGTGTGAGAATTTCTCCTTCTTTTCTTCCTTTCCATCTCGGAAGCCAGAATGGAATATAATTCCTTTCACCACATGAACGATTTGGTCTTTACCAATTTCAGCACCTTGATCAATTTTATGTTTAGCACAAATCCCATCTGTCACATGGAGGGGTAAGAGCCACTTGCAGACCCATTGGAAGTAAAGATGAGTTAGGCCAAGAACATCCTGCACTGATGCTCAGTGATTTATCAAAGGTTAAAAAAAAAGAAAGCAGCAACTCACCATATTTCAGCTGTTTGATTTCAGAATTCTAACCTAAGTAGCTTGTTTACTCAGGTATACCAAGATAGGGTAGCAAGAAAAAATTAGTTCATATCATGGGAAAACAAGGAAAGTAAAGCAGGAATCCTGCTTCTAGGTGTTAATATAGCTTGGTATGACAGGCTAGAACAGTTGCTGGGCATTTGAGTGAAACTAAAATCTACAATTAGATGTCCAGAAGTGATACAGCCACAGTTAGCATGGTCAGCAGAGTGATCACAGTTTATAGAAGAGAAAAATAGAAATGGAAAGAAAAGGCACCCACAAGAAAGAAAAAAAATGTTGACAAAACAGACAGCATGAAGCTGCACTGGTATTTTGTTTTTGTTGCAATTTATAAGTAAAATAGTCTTGTTCCTGACTCATAGCACCATATCTGTAACCTAGTAGATGCTGTTTCTCTCTCTGTAACAAGACAACTTCCACAGCCAACAGTGTGCTGTGAGCAGCAGCAGCATCCCCTCCCTCTGACCAGAGCAGGAGGGATGGCCCAGGCTCCTCTGAGTGCTCCCAGCCAGGTATTTGAGAGCAGCAGTGAAATGGGGCACAAGGTGCTGCTGCCCTGCCTGTGAGAGAGCACTGGCAGCAGTAGGGAGGGACAGCTCGTGCCCACAGCTCACAGGACATAGTGACATGTGCTCCTTACCTGCCAGCAACCAACGCTGTGCTGTGAGCAGCAGCAGCAGCATCCCCTCCCTCTGACCAGAGCAGGAGGGATGGCCCAGGCTCCTCTGAGTGCTCCCAGCCAGGTATTTGAGAGCAGCAGTGAAATGGGGCACAAGGTGCTGCTGCCCTGCCTGTGAGAGAGCACTGGCAGCAGTAGGGAGGGACAGCTCGTGCCCACAGCTCACAGGACATAGTGACATGTGCTCCTTACCTGCCAGCACCCAATCCCATGGATGTTCAAGCCCCATTCCCACAAATCCAAGTGCTTAGATGGGTTTTCTGAGCATTAGCTTGAAGGGAAGTTTTACAAGGGAACAGATTACCAGATGGTTTCAGACCACTTTTCCCAGAAACACTGACATGGTCTGCAGCAGCCTGTGCATTAACACACCTGGGTCACAGAGATTGTTTTCTAAGGCTTAGGAAAACTTCAATTATTATCCTTCCCTCCTTAAATAGTCAGCAAGCAGCCAAGTATATTTAACAGAGAAGTATGGGGGGAAAAAAGGCAAAAAGAAAAGTCAAACCCAGGAAGCACTGCAGAGTTACTCCCTAATTGTCAGCATTATACAGCTGCATTTAGAACAAGATTTTCCTCTGCTGATTGCAGATTAGCCCAAACTCAGTAAAAAAAGGGACTGGAGTCATTCTACCCTGTCTGAGATCAGATCCTTTCCAAAGGTGACTTTTAACCCATTCCAGCACTAAACCTTCTTTTGTGGCAGATCCAGCCCAATATTTAAGTACCATCCCAACCTACCTTCCAGCTGGGCATTTAGTGAATGAACACTGTTCTAGGAGGCAATTTATTTAAAAACATTTATTTTAGGCAAAATTAAACAGACATTTGAGATTACATAGAAATACAGTTTCCAATTGGATCACATAAAAATTAAAAATGCACTGCTGTGTTGATTTAAGTATTTTTGTATGTATTGACCAGGTATATAAGATTTAACCATGCCATTTGCAGTCAACTATCATAAAAATCAGTAACGAAAAAGGTTTCTTAAAATGTGCAAATATTATCTTAGTGTTACCATTGATAATAAATGACCACTAAATAGATGCTTATTATGTAAAGCTTTTTAAAGTACAATAAAAATACAAATTCTATTTGTTAAAAAAGGCCATTGCTATGGCTACTAAACATCCTCATTATACAAATTCGAAAATACTATATGACAAACAAAATTATAAAGACTTTTCTTTATGAAACATATACTATTCTATTTGTTAGTGATTTAATATATTTTTATATATATTTCTCTATAATACTCTATATGAATGATGAACTCAGAATGAGAGAGAGGAAGACAAATGTAATGTGGGATGTTAAGGCCCCAATTCAGCAAGGTACCTGAGGATGTGTCAAACCCAGCAAAGGAATAATCCCATTCTTTTAGAGGACTCCAAAGGCACATGCACAAGTACTTTGTTGAACAAGGCATAAAAATACTCGTGATGAAATTGAAAAATATGGTTTTGGTGTAAACTGTGACTGTTAAGGAGAAAACTATAAGTGTCAGCAAAAAGCCTCTCATTAAAAATAATCTGAAAATTTTGGCAGGGGGGTTTCCACGTTTTTATGTTTTGAAGGGAAATTACAAGAGGTTGGAAAGTTTTTGAATTGAACTCATAATGATAATTTTCTGAGATAGGTTTAAGATGGTGTTTTATTGCTTATGAGAAAGATTGATGAAGAGTATGCATAGACATGTCAGCATTAATCTCACCAGCAGCTGAGAATTTTGGAGTGCAGGTATTTCTGTAACATGAACAACCAGTGGGTACAAAGGACTTACTTACAATTGTTTCTCTGCAGAAAGCCTCAAAATTAAAGACATGGAACACTAAAGAAGAGAGTAAAAGAATTATACTCAACAGAGCCTGGCTGTAAACACTCAGGTGTTGAAAGTAATTACAGAAGTGAGCCCGGTGCCTGCTTATACACAAAATTACATAAGTTCCTAAGCAAATGCAGGACCATAATCTTCCTTTTAAGTTATGGCTAGCATGTAATGGACTCCAAGTTACATACTTTACACTTCAGCTATAAAATATCAAAACAAAGGCTGGTTGCTTGGCCATTCTGCAATTTAGCAGTTCTTCTAGGCTCATTAAGCACTAATTAGCAGACTAACAACTTGTTAGTTTCTAAAACATGAATGAAGGACCTAAAATCTGGATTGAATAAGCCAATGACAACATATGTACGGGACAGTAACCACACACGGTGATGGAAATCAACCACACTGCATCCAGATTTACTTTTGAAGCATATAGTAATGGTTAGTATTTTATGCTTTTCTCACTGCAAATTGAAATTTTTGTAGCAGATATTAATAATTTTACTGCTTGAATATTAAATAATACCTTAAAAGCATAATTTCAAAATGCTGCCAGGTAAAGTATTATGTAGAATTCATGCCTGCACATTTGCAGAGAGAGACAGAGAGAGAGGTATGAGTGACCTTCTGAAGAACTTCTCCAAGCTAATAGTCATAAAGCATAGTAAACTCGGGCCAAAATGTGACAGAAAGAAACACAACAGCGTAATTTAATCCATAATCCATAAACAAATACAACTTTTTACATTTGTACAGGGAAAGACTGGAAATAAGTTGAATTTTTACAGAAGCAAGCCTCACAAGAGTTTACATGTTGAAAAAAGCAATTTTTGGCACATGGATAGTATCTGTGAGTATGTGTTCAGAAATAAAAAAAACCCACTGTGGAGGAAATTCACATTGACTTTCTTGGCATCAGCACCTGCTGTCTAGTGGGTCAAGACAGAATACTGTGCCTTCAAGAGTTAATCCCATTTTGAACCCCTCCTGCAATGAAACAAGACATCATTAGTAAAGAGCCAAGTGAGTTCTGGAGGATTACATTCTCCTTGTAAAAACATTTAAATCCAAGCATATCTTCAGGCAGACAAACTGCAACGATACTTTAGCCTGAATTCACAAATATTTACATTATTGGGTCAGCCACTTTTAGTAAGTCTTAGTGGTTAACTCATAAAAGATGTACACCATACAACAGCATAGCTACAGCATGTACATAAAGTGAAGAAAATATTAGACAATAACAATATTGAATATTGTACATAGGTTGACAGAAATCCAAACAAGTTTGACTTGCACCATGTTGTTCCTGAGTAAAATTCAAGAAGATTTATATTGAAAAATGCAGGTATGACATGGAATTTGTTACTGATACAAGGGATCTTCTGTGTTCTGTGGTGCTGTAAGAGCAGCCCAACAAAAATGCTGACTACCCCACCTCAGAGGGCTGCTCTGAATTGCTCCCAGTGCAGCTGAGCTTCATGAAAAAGGCAAATGAAATCATACTTGCTCAACTGCAAATGAAAAATCTGTGCATTTTGAGGGTACGTAATGCAGTAAAATAAAACTCAGTGGTATTTTGAAAGCACAGTGAGTTGCTTTGAAAGTTCAGACTAAAATTCCTGAGTTTGCTCACATTCATTTTATTAATAGAAACACAAAAAAGATTATAAGCTGGATGCTACCACCTCCTCTATGGAAAAGAAATGAATTCTACAAGTACTTTTTTTTGGTATACTTTCATAGATGTTTGGCTTGCTAAAGGTACTTCATTCACACCAGCCCTAAAGTAACAACTGCACTTTTCATACAGGAAAACCACTCTTATTTTAATTTCTCTTTTTGCATTAAAATAAGCTGAATAACTGTGGCTTGAACCTCAAAAGTCACCTTGAAGTCAAGAAAATTTCAGTCTGTTGGGTGAAAGAACTTTGAAGATTTAAGCAATTGGAAACGGGGCTCTGACTAGAACTGCCATGAGAACATCAACTCCAGTGGCAGCAGTCACAGTGCTCTGTTCAGTGAGATGCTGATTGTGTGCTATGAAATCAATAACAGGTCCTTTCATCAAGAAAATATCTTGTAAACAAGATAAATCTTTTTGTAAAACCGTCTGTGTGGGGATTAGGCACAAACTCAAGTCTTTCGCTCACATGCACAGCAGTACCTCAAGACCATACCTTTTGGGTTTAGAAGATAAATCCCATGTTAAACCAGCTTAATTTCAAACAAATTCAAATCACAGGCTAACACTTGAAAAGTGTATGAATATCTAACAACCCTGCCAGCTACTGCTATCAGGAGAATAATGTGGAAAAACAGAGCGAACCTCCTGGCAATAGTTACTAAATGGTCTGAGAATTTCCAAGTAAAAGCTGCATTTTCCTAAAGGCAGATCTATACCATGAGATGCTGAGCAAGCAGCAGCACTGTGGTGTAAGCATTCCCCAACTGTGCTACCCAGTTTCTCTACACCTGGGTGACAGTGCTGCCAAGGCTTAAATACTAGTGTATTTAAGATTTTTCCTTTTTTTTCCTCTCTGTATTTTCCCAAGGTTTAAAAGGAAGAACATTCAATGCAGAAGATATTTCAAGTGAACAGATGACAGTGCTGTCAAGGCTCACTAGTGTATTCAAGATTTTTCCTTTTTGTCCTCTCTGTATTTTCCAGAGGCTTAAAAGGAAGAACATTCAATGCAGAAGATATTTCAAGTGAACAGTAGGTGAAATTCCAAGCGAAACACATCCTGTTACAAACAGACAGTGTTCATTTATCCAAAGGGTAAATTAATTGATGTAACTGCAGTCAAAGGAGGACTGCTTACCCAGAACGAGAATGCAGAGAACTAGCCCTAGGGTCTAATCTTACATTTTAAACCCTGCAGTTACAGTGTGCCTAGGATGCTCAAATTCTGAAGTATCTGAAGGCTGCTTCCAGTTTTGAGCCTGTAAAGGGATACAGGAACAAGGCATTGTTGGTGCTTCAACCTGAGGGTGCTTGATGAGCTCCAACAGCAGAACATCACCAACAACTGGTTTGACAAGGATAGAGACCTTGATCCTGAGCCAGCCAGAGCCTTCACTGAACATCCATTCCATTCCTGTCCTGCCCACTCTTATTTTTCTCTTATTTTTACTGTTAAGCACAGTTTGCACTGTCTTAAGTGGCTTCACTTCCACTGCCCTGTTTCCAGCAAGTGGAGAGCAAATCAGATGATGCATTTTGGAAGTGCACTCATCTCACTGCTCTTATGTTGAGCATGTCAAGTTTTTTCCCCACAAACTGATATTTTGTCACTTAGCACTTTGCTTGTGTTTGCTATGACTTCACTTAGAACTATTTCCACTTTCTTGAAGAACCTTGGCCTCTTTGGCCTTTCCCTCTGCAGCTTCACTCCAGCCACTTCCCCCCACCCCTGTCTAGTCCTTCTCAGGCTGTGATATTTTGCATTTAAAACAATTACATTTCCACATATTTGCAATGTGATCAATGCTAATCTGTTCAGAGATTGCTGCTCTTTATGGATCATAATGATTAAAAAAGCTTTTTAACTTTATGACCAAAACGGTCTGTCCTAAAAGAAATCAGTGCTGTGGTTGCCAGGTGCTGTTCCTGAGAACAAGGGCTCATGCACCCTCCTGTCTGTAACAGGGACATGGCATTTCCATGATCACTTCTGAGCCACACCAAATCCATGATCATCAATGTGAGATGCTGCATTTCCAAGCAGGTTCAAACTTCCATGAAAACCACAAGGCCAAAAAGCCCAACAGCACAGAGAGGGCATCAAAGCAATCCAAGTGGCTAGCTGGGCATTTCTTTCATTAAAGGAATGTAAAATCTAGATATTTTTTTATCTTGGGTATTTAAGTGGAAGACATGAAGTGCATTTTCAGGAAATGCTGAAGAAGGCCACCCTGTGGCACTGGCCAGGAGAGGGAACAGAAGGGCTATGAAGTGTGTATCTATACTGTGCCTTGTTTTTCTGTGTTCCTGTCTTCCTCAAGGAGCTTTTTTACTTTAGAGGCATTTTAACACAAGGACTGAGCAGTTTAGCTACCTACTAAGTAATGGTATTGTACTAAGGGATGTGATTGATGCTCTAAAGAGAGGAGCAAAGCTTGTTTCCACTCGAAACAGCTCAGAAACAATCCCTCTTCCAAAACCATGCGTTTTTTGGAGTCAAGGATAAAAATATGTGAGCTATTCTGGTTAAAACCAGTAAGCAGTACAAGACAAAGAACCTGCACTTTATCAGAAGACAAATTTGCCTGAGTCAATCTTATGGCTCAGAAGTTCACTCACTTATCACTTCACAGTGACTTCTCTCAATGAGCTTAAGTCAGCACAAACCCAACGAAGCAATGACAAATTTACATATCTCTGAGAAGAGCATTTACAGGGGTGAGCATAAGTTACTTGAGATGGAAAGATGTCAAGTCTACTGACTGCTTCAGGGCATGTAGGGAGAATGGCTTGCAGCTCCTGGAAGCTCTCTGATATTAACTACCTTGAGATTTTAATAAATTATAGCAGCTGCTGCTGGTGTGATTCATGTAGGGAAACTTCTCCTCACTGCAAGATTTCTGGGAAAGTAGACATTCATTTTATTAATGTCTGGACACAGTCAAAATAAAGATGAAAATATGTTTCAGCATAAGGGTGCAGGGAAACAGGAGGTTGGACAGCCATCAGAGAGAGGCCTGAGCTATAAAAGTCACATCTCGGCAAATGTTTGAGTTTTAAGCTCTCCAAAAAGATCAACAGAGATTGGACTGAGAAATGGAATAGAAAGCTTAACTGTGAAATTTGGATCCTCACTGAAGTTTAAAAATAAGAGTGCTCCCCCAGAGGCCAGGGAACTTGATCTGATCTCATTAAGTTCAGAATGCAGGATGCAAAGGAAAAGCACCCACTACTCAAGAGTTTATTCTCCAGTGGCTCTTCTGCACTGTGCCCTCCTCTCCCACTTTGTTCCCAAAAGCACAAGGCCAGATCAGGGCAGCTTTTCTGCACACGGGCTGTGTGTGCTGAGGCACCTTACATGTTCCTCACAAGAAACAGGGAAAGAGAGTCTGGGATTGGGCTGCTCCAATCAGGCTGGCACATCCTCACTGCAGGCTGAGCTCTATTCAACACCATGGTGCAGGAAGTTCATACTTGGAGCTATTTGCTAGGTGTCTGTAAAAAACTTACCTTCACAGATTTAATGGAATACATAATTACTGAAACCCAGGCTGTGCTTCCATAATGCAAAGATAAAAAATTCATTCACTGCATTTCAGAAAAGAAGAGAGGCCCACATTTCTCTTCCACGTTTCTCATTGTTGGATTTCCAGAGCATGTTACATGTTCTGTGCTCTCACCTTCCTCAAAGACTGTGCCTAAGCACAGCTGCTTCTGCTCCTTGAAAAGTTTTAAATCACCAAACAAAGACTTGCTCTCAAATGTGGTTGTACTAACACCATCTCTGTATTAAAGGTTTTGCTTAAACCATTTCACTAGTGACAATCTGATAATGACAACTGGAGATTTCACAAATACACATGGAAAACAAACAGCAGCGAAAACAAAGGCTTAGTATTAGCACCTGGCAAGACAAGGGTAAAGAAAACAACCATCAGCTGTCCCTAACTTAGAGATTGTAGGCCCCAAAAAAAGAAAATGGCCCTGACTCAGTTCTATACACAAACCATAATTTTTGAAATTTTTATATATAAACAAATATACATAAAAATAGAAACACAAGACAAACACGTGCACGTTTCAATTGTAAATGCTTTAAATACCATTATTAAAATATGATATACCAACCATCGCTGACGCTGCGCACCCAGGAAAGCACAAGAAGATAAAAGAGACATTAGGAAAAACATGTTTCAATCTGCATTTTGCACCAATCACACATTAAAACAACTGCCTACAGTCTTTGCTTTGGCTCAAGCTAGAATATGAGGGTTTTTCACACTCCTGCAGGTGTACACTTATTCTCAGCTGGATCATAAATGTCAAGTTTTGTGCCTACATAAAGGCCCATTGATTAATTTTTAGTGAATAGCTGATATGCTGGGGAGCAGTGCCTTTCTTCACACAGGACACAGTTAACACCCTAGTGTTTGGGGGTTTTGTTATAGATTGATTGTCTCCTTTTTTTAGATCAAGAGAGTACAAACAATGATGGGAGATTTTAATTTCATGACTTCAAACATCTTTAACACCCTAGTGTTTGGGGGTTTTGTTGATTTTAGATTGATTGTCTCCTCTTTTTAGATCAAGAGAGTACAAACAATGATGGGAAATTTTAATTTCATGACTTCAAACATCTTTGATAAACACATTCACTATTTAATTCCCTGAAGTTTTATGAGGTGACAGCACTCTGTACTGGTATAGGCAAACAATTCCAAATATTGTCAAAATATTACCTGTATAGGAACTCTTAATATGTGACATTTAAATACTGACATACCATTATTAGTGGTAACTACAGTGGCTACAATTTATTTTTCCCAAAAACAATGGCAATGTTGGTAATATATCAATGGGAGGTGCTATAAGATTTGGGGTTTGTGTTCAAGGGCTTGGTAACAGTGTTATGGCATTCACAAAACACCAGCATGTTGTTGGAATTGCAAAGAGGACAGCTTTGGCTTTTAGCTGCTCTTTGAAATGATACAGGGGACCAAGAAGCTAAATTTCTTACTTCACTGTGAGTAGAGTTTGTCAGTGGAACCATCCTGAACTGACAAAGAAAATGTACTTAGGAAAATTAAATGGTATTTCAATTTATTTAAGCTATTTTAAAAAGTCTCTGCTGCTCTCTAGGCAGGAGACAGGAGCAGAAGGAGCCTGAGAGCAAATGCTCTTGAACTTTGTGGGCTCCTAAGAGACAAGGGGGCTGGAAACCTTGGGAACACTTTCTGCTGAGGAGCCAGGATCCTAGAAATTCAAGTTTCCGTTATTTCCAGCCTTTTCCTTTGCTGGCAGAATGCTTAAAAATACTAGAGATAAGCTGGCAAGAAACTGGAAATTTTGCAAGTCTGACTGCAGAGCATAATTTGTTCCAAAACTTGAGGACTTTCTCCTAGAATTGTTTCATAATTGGGTCAATAACTGAATGGACAATGTTGAGTGTTTCAGAATCAACAAACATTTTATGATAAAAACAACAACAGTTCAGAATTCTTGAATCAATTCTTGAGAGTTTAATTGCTCCAGGGTGCCATAGAGCTGTTTTTAAAGGCAGCAAAACATTGCCATGGCTTCAGAAGCTCCTAAGTTTGCTCAATGCTGTGAGAAACCAAAGTGATGCCATTGAGGAGAGTACATTGAGATGGTGGAGATTGCTGATGGTGGGACCTGGAGGGCTCTTGGCTCAGCTCTCTTTTTCAGCTCTCTCAGTCCCTTCCCAGGTAACAGCTCCCAAACCATTTTGGTTACACTGCTGAGAAACCCTCCAGTAGTGTAGCTGACTGTATTGGTACCAGCTGGGGCTCTTGAGGCAAAAACTCCAGCTCAGAGACCAGGAGATAAACTCACAGAAGGAATAGTAGAAATAGGGGTTTGTGTGTGCTTTGTAGAACATATTTTCAGAATACAGTAAGCACATATTTCTAGAATAGGCACAGAGCCATCAAAACCCACGTAAGAGAGTAGTTACCTGCATCTCGTCTAGTTTGGACTGAATGTCTGGAGGGAAATCTCCTGCTCCACAGCTAAAAGGGTCAAAAGGTTCTGCTCCAAAAAGGTCTCTCTCTGCAATGACAGAAAAGTGAGTCACTGGGAGAACAGGTATGGGCTACAACAACAGCTCTGAAAAAGCCACCTTACATCTCCTCCTGAGCTGAGCAACAGCACCACCAGATACAACACTCATTAACCACAACTTTTAACACCCCAGTGTGCAAGCCAGCTCTTGGGCACTTTCCCAAACCTTAATACCCAAATATTTTTCCAAGAACACCAGTGGACTTCTGTTTAAGCCTCTCTTTATCTTCCTTTAATGCTTGTGCCTTCTCGAGATGCAGTGAGAAGCTGCTGCGCTTGGAAGAGGGCATCATGTACTGACGTGTGCTCTGGAGTCTGTGTGTAGAAGGAGTTTCAAAAATGAAGAGGGAGAAACTGGACATGAGTTGCCAAATTTCATTTCTACGTTATGTCAACAATAAATTACTAACCAATTAATCTTCAGGTCCCCTGTCTGCCACTCTTCAGGTTAAGGATGTTTTTGTGAGACATGCAAATACTCTTATTCAGGCAAGGCAAGGCCTTTATTTTATACAGTTCCTCAATGAAGAACTAGCGGCAATTAAAAATAAAAGCCATCTGAGTTTTAAAATCTTGGAGAAGATCACATTAAGAAAGAAACAGTATTAAAAAAAAAACAAAAAAACCCCAAAACCACAACAGGACCGTGAATTGTCATGCTAAAATTCCACTAAATTTGGGTGCATAAATAGAATGACTGCAAATTTTCACTTTGTGAATACCAAAAGTTTCTCACTTTTTCTTAACTGCAGTTTGCATTCTAGTGGTCAAAAGGAGGGGGGTGTTTCTTTTTTTTGTCTGGGTAAGAAGAAATGCCTCCAATACAATTGTGTTCTTTTCTCATATTAGACCAGCACAGTTCATTATATCTGCCTGCTCAAATATTTTTTGTTTTTTCAGGTTATGGGTGTTTTTCCCTCCTTCTTAGTAATAGATTTTTCTTTCCTACATTTAAAGGCTCAACCTCTAGACACTTTTTCCATCTCACATCGGATTAAACTACTGCAGTTAAAAAAGAAATTGCTAACCCAACCTCACTAATTGCAGAATTTATAAAACCAAGTTCCTACAGCCTTGTCACTGGTGAGGAGAAAACCAGAACCATGAGGACATATCCTCTCTCCTAACTTGCATGGCTGCCTAGCAAGAAACCTGACAAGCATTCTACCTGCCTGAAAACAATTTTAGTTTTAGAGCATGATAGTAAGTGGGGCAATAGTAATCCTGAAGTGACGGAACAGTTAGGCACAAAATTCACCCTTAACACCTGAGGTCTGGGTGACAATTAACTGCTGGATCCACTCCCCTCACTGCCGTGTTCCCAGTGCCATTATCAGTGGTGCAGCACCTGCTACAGCTGCACAGCTGGTTTGATTTTGGCATCCTTACAGGCAGAATTTTACACCTGTGTCCTCTGGGCTCTTCAACAGTTACTGTGCATATCAGTCTGTCAGGGCTTTGCCCTTATCAATTAGGTGTTATCAGGCTGCACAGCAGGCATTTTAGATAACTAGCAACTACCATCATTTGCTCCCACAATAAAGTACAGAAATTCCCATTATAAAGTACAGAAACTTGAGCAGAAGTTGATTGATTACATATTTAAAAAACTGTGGCTAAGCAGCTACAAACTGTCACACGGGACCAGGAGATGGCCCAGATAAGAGAGCTTTATTCCAAGAGTCCACTTGAGCCAAGAAGAAATCCAGTCTTTCCTGGCAAAGGCAGACCACCTGCGTGCAAGAGAGACTTTAACTCGGATAATCTAATGTAAAAATTAGGTTCTCCCTCATCCTTTTCCTCTTTCACAGCCAAAATGGGTCTGCTCCAGTATAACCAGTGTCCTCAAATGCTCTGATGCTCCTAGCAAATGACCTTCAGATGTGTAGCAGCTTTGACTTGCAATCTAACCTCTACTGGACAAAAAAGTGATTCTACTCTATAACCCTCAACAGTCTATGGTTCATTATGTAGATCCATTTTCTTTCCTTTTACCTTTAAAAGGAGCTGACAGCTTTCTCTGTGGTCAGACAACTGAAAGCAGACAGTTCCAACACCAGGGCTTAGCAAACATTTAATTAATGTATTTAGGAAAAAACAGTGAAGGACAAAACTCCTGCATGTAATTTGTACTGAATTCCGACTTCTGACTATTTTTAAAAGCAAGTATTTTGTACACTATTATGGCTATTATCTCATTCATGCCTTATTATTGGGTTTTTACTAATGAAAGCCCTTTAGAGCTCATTAGCAGGAGAACAGCCCAAGTTTTAACTCCTTTAATGTCACTCCTTCCTTTAATGTAAAAGATTTTTGAATTTATACTGTATACAAGGCAGAATTTAAAAGCAAACAGAGTGTGACTTATTCCAAGTGACAGAGCCTAGTAAGCCCTGCACAGAATAAATTCAAAATAAAGAAGCATTACCTAGCTGGGTTTCTGTGCAAAGCTATTACTTGGGAAATTATCTCTATCATAACTTGCTATCCATTCCACAACTGCTTTTCTGCATTTAAAGTTTGAGTCTTATAAGAGAGACTGCACTGCTAAGAGTCAGGGAGGGACAAAGTTCCATGGAATATTTTCAGCAGCACTGCCATTATTTGCCTCCAGAACAAAAGCTGAAGAACATGTGTAAAATGGAGAAATGTGAAGATTTCATTCCTGCAGGGCTGCACTATTCCTTGGGATATCCATAAGCTTATCCACCAGTGTTCATTATTGCAGGGGGGGCACCCTTTTAGCACAGATAGGATAAATTTGCAACTTTTTTTTCAGGCCACTTTTATTTTTATTTGCATGAAAATTAGCTATAACAAGAATATCTTGCCTGGCACACTCCCCAAAATTACTGTAGCATAGACAGGCATTTCTTTCTCCAATAAACAGCAACCAGGAAGCCTTTGAAAACTATCCTTTCAAACAGTAAAAATAATTTCCTTCCCCTTTCTCATTTCTTTCTGGATGGAAATAAATTCACAGGCTGAAAAACTGACCTACGAACTCGAAAGCCCTGAAACGTTGATGTTTTAGATCCTCAGCTCAAACCACAGGATAACACGAACAAGTAATAAATTCTAGGACATGACATTCAGGAGAACAAACACATAATACTGGAGAATAGCAACCTGCACTCTATGGTAAATTCAAAATTAGCAATTACTAAGCAAAAATACAAATATTTGGCTTTTCTGCTGCACTTCACATCCCAATCTCTACCTCACTCTCATCCAGGCACACAGCTATGCTGGTATATGCTTTGCCCAGATGGAGCAGCTGTGATGACAAAAATGAATCACACTGAGAGACAAGCACCCAAAGAAATATTTGGAATAAACTGCTACAGGGATATCCAGAAAGCCTTTCATTTAGCTGCAGGCTACTCCATATTTTTTTTTCCTTTGGAAATTATTACAGCCATTATTCTGACAAAATACTCTTAAATATCTGTAGGAAAAGAGCACCTTGGAGCAGATTTCTGCATCTGCCAGTTGTGACCTTGGTTTGTCCATGATGCATTTGTGTGAAATAGATATTAAAAAACTCAATAGAGAATTATCCTCTACAGTTCTTTTCTGAGATATGAAAATAATGCTGTGCCAACAAGAAACATAAGTTAATTCCTCCTTTAACGAAAAAAGGATAATTCTGACCATTCAGATAACTTATAAGAACATTTACAACTCCTTAATCCATGAGGAAGAAGCAGTATGCAATCTCTAGCATTGCATTTTTGGTTGCATTTCACTATGTTGCAATCATTACCCAAAGAGTCAGCATGGATTTACCAATGTGCAACCTCCTGTACAAAAATTATGCCATTTTCTCCTTTAAATAGGTAAACCCCATTTGTTTGCTATTGCTGATATAGGCAGTAGTGAGCAGTCATTTTCTGAGTAGCCCTGTTGGAACACTGTTGAATAGGAACTCAAAACCTCAAAATTTAATTCATTTTTTTAAAGCCTAAAAGCTCTGGAAATAAATTCATTTTTTGAAAGCTTGAAAGCTCTCTTAAAAAAAAAAAAAAAAAAAAAAAGTTTAAAAGGTCACAGTTCTGCTAATTTTTTGAAAGCTTGAAAGCTCTCTTTAAAAAAAAAAAAAAAAAAGTTTAAAAGGTCACAGTTCTGCTCTAGTATTAAAAGGTGGGGTATCTTAAACTACATGCTGTGAGCTTGGCAAAGCCAGAGGTACCATTTGTCACTCCACAATTGTTTTTCCTGTGAAATTACCAAGGGAAGAACTGGTGAGCAAAATTCTAACTCTGGGCATGTGTCATTATGGGAAGCTGAACAGTAATCACCTATGCAGTTATTCCTTGGAGGAATGCAAAGTGCTTGGTATTGTTGCAGGTGCCCAGGCCTTTCTGGGTTATTTTTGGCTGGTTTCTCAAACTAGCCAGTGGATGAGTAAGATGAACTTTGGCTTTAAAAGCACATTTTGCTTGAGCAGCACAAGTGCCCTCCCTGAGTAACGGACCCCAATTAGGCAAAAGGAATAAATGAGGTGATACTAACAAGTAGATGGCAAACCCTCATCTTTCTCCTTCTTTACTACTGAATGTGAGAAAGGTGAAAGTTACAAAATTATAAAATCCAACAAAATCACCCTGTAATTTCACCAAATCAGCTCTGCTTGAGTGCAGTGATAAAGAAGCTAGAGATAGGAAGAGGAAAAGATGATCTCAGAAAACTGAGACTCCAAACTTTGGCTCCTGTTGGTTGCCAGCCCTCTGACTTGTACTGGAGAAAGAAATGCCAGCTTGCTGGTACTGGCAGCAGTGACACCACAAAGCAGTGCATTATTGCACATTGCTGCAGTAAGGGGACATTGCACAGCCTGAACAAGCTTATGGGAGCTGACCTTTCTCATCTGGGACAGTAAAGCCCTTGTTTGATGATAAAATATTCCTCTCCTGTTTCAATGGCACTCTGAAACATGCCAAAAAGCATTAATAGCTGATGAAGACAGTAATTTTCAACACAGAGCACCATGATACAGACTGAAAGAGCACGGATCAAAACTATAAAGACCATGATGGGCTTTGGAACCTCTCCCTGAAGTGGCATCTCTGAACTACATCATCTCAGCTGAAGGCAAATCAGTGAAGTGTAGAAGCAGCAACTACTTTAAACAATAGCTGTCACTGTTATTAAGCAACTCTTTTTTTTTTTATAATATTACAAAACCTGCTGCCTAAACAATTATAAATCCCATATAGCTGGAATTTTCAAGATCCCTCAAGTTCCTTCAATATCTGAGTGTGGGCTCTCACAAGATTTCTATGGAACTGGGCACAATTTCAATGGAGCTGATGTAGGACAATAGGTAAAAAAATAAAATCATGACCTATAATTCAATTCAAGTTAAGTTGCCATTCTTGAAATTGTATATGCACATTTAGATCTATTTTATGGCAGTGCCTGTAGGTTCAGAGAAGCAATCTTTCAATTATTTATTGCAAAGACATAATTCTCTCAATAGAGCAGTTCTGTTCTAATATTCTTTTAGAATATTCAAATATTCTTTTAAATTATATGAAAATAGTTACTACTATTTTCATATCATTTAAAGTATAGTTATGAGTATAATTGATAGATGTAAAATTCTGTCAGTATCCTTTCTGAGAATTCCACAGAAATTAATTAATAATTTTAAAATATTCTCTTTAAAAAACCCAGGGTTCTTTATTAAATTAAGAATCTTTCTCTTTAGAAAGTGGCAGACATTCTGAGCAATGGAAACAAACAGTGCACCATATATGAGCTCAGGGAGGGAAGACATTCACTGACTGAAGTTGTAAAATGTATTTTTCTTTTTGTGCACAGCTCCCATTGACAGCTGAAAATTCTACATCCTAGAGGCATGCCCCAAAGCAGCACAGTCTCCACAAACGTGTTCCATATGGTGGCAGGCAGTAACATTAATGTCCCTTATCCACCCTAAAATAGGCATCAGGAACAGAAGATACAAACACAGACCCATATTTCCACAACCTCTAACATCACTTGTGCATGCCCCACTCTCCTCTCCCTCAAGGGATTCCCAAAGCTTTTAAAAAGACTTTCTGGACTCCAAAGATTTCCAGTGAATTCAAGAACCTTACCCTAGATGCTTTCAAGCCTTTACAAAATAAAATTGCTGTTAATAACCTTTTGAAGACCTTTTAGGAATGGTTGGACATCTGGAGAGGTTCATCAAGTACAGCCAAACAAAGCTGTGCATGATATGAAAAGTATTGTTGAGAACAGCATTCCAGGTCTCCTTGAGTGGTTTCTTCAGCTCTCCCTTGAGCACCACCATCACCATACTTACTCCACCTGCTGCCTTCCCCAGAAAAGCAGGCTCTAGGTGCTAGAACCGTGGCTTGACAAGGAAAGAACTAACAGGAAGTAAAAGTATTCCTTGAAGTACAGAAAAGAGACTGTAAAAGAAAAGCCAAGTTAAAATCCCCAACCCAACTCCTTCCAAGTGTATATGTCACAGTTTCACAGCAAGTTTGTTTATAATGCAACTTGGCAGCAACATCAAGGACTTTGGGAGGATGGTATAAAGATGAAACGGCATCAGTGAACGTGATTTAAAAAAACTGCATTTGGCTTTTCATGCAAAACGTACGTAAAACTTTAAAGATGCTTTATGAAAAAAATAATGTAAGCAAAAAGTAGGTCAGTTGTTACAAAACTTACTGATCTCTGTAGATCTACTGGGTACTGGAGGAGGCTGTGTACCATTGCGAGTAGGTGTTGTTGACTGAGGGGATATGGGAGAAAAGGGAACCATATCAAAGATGTCAGTGGAGGGTGATTTAGGTGTCACACTGCCTGCCTACAATAAGGACAATAAATATTAGGGCAATGTTTCACATGAAAAAGATCACAATACTGAATTCTTCAGCATGCAGATAAGAGTCACATTTTGAAAAGAAAAGTTAAAAACAACCACCAGCATGCAAACCCCAGCTTCTTACACCAAGCAAATGGCATTTGCAGTATAGACTCTGACACATGCTAACACTCCCCAGTACAAAAGCAGCATTGCAATTTTTCCATTTTCAGTGGAAAATGTATCCCAGTTACACCTGCCAAAGCTGTGACAAGCAGCTGTCTTGCAAACATATGAGCACAGACACCTTCATGAGACCCAGTCGAGGTAATATGGCAACAACAATGTGCTCTGCTCTGGAGAGCACAGAACCAAGTTTAAAGATACAACCCCAGTATTTTTGGTTTACTAATACTTCTTTACATGATCTCTTATTTGGCAGCTTAGAAAAACTGGTACGAACAAAACTTTAAATGTGTTTTTCCACAAGTAATAATCCAGACATTATATACTGAATATTAATATCCAAAATAAACCTGTTGTCCTCAGAGGTAAAACTGAAGAGATTTCATTCAAAAGGCACAGGAATTTGGAAGGGTGAAAAAAAAATACTGGGCAAGCAAGAAACCCCAAACCCACCAATTACTACAGTTCTACAGCCATATTTGGTTTTGAATGGTTCATTCCTCCTGCCACCAGTCCACTACTTCAGGGCACAAGTGAGGCACAGTCAAGTTAAAATATACTGAACACTGAAGACAGAGGATGAAATAGATTAAAACTGAGACTGACAAGCTGAAGGCATGACTAGTTTGCATGTTGATGTTATTGCTGAGACAATACAGAAACCCCCACACCCTGGGTATTAGAAAGGCCAGCCAGGCACAGCAGAAGCCTGCAGCTTTGAAACAAGATTCAGTTTGCACAAACTATCCACACAGGAATTTTGAAGCACAAGTTAAATTAGTCACGTGGATCCTATTACTCAGAATACACAAATATGATAACCTGGCAAGCAGGTAGTCCTTAGCACTGCTTGTCCATGAGAGTGCCATGGATAAACCCTTATTTTGGAATGCTGCTTTCTTCAGTGCCTGGGCTGCAGACCTGCAGCTGTCCTGGGACAGCTCACATCACAGATCCCTAAGCCAAGTCTACAGGTGGCCCTGAACCACTCCTATTTCTCTCTGGAAGTTCTCTGCAGTGGCTGCTGAGAAGCAATATTGAGCCACAGGCTTCCTCTGAATGCACTGTTAAAAGAAATAAAAAACACAGGGCTCTCAAGTCCTACATGTCCTATTTCTTGGAAGTTCTGCGATTCTTAGGAGTTTTGAATTAATATTTTAAATTTGGATTAATATTTTAAAATTGGATTAAGAGAGATCTGTAACTGTACAATATCTAAAACAACCTGGGGTATTTCTTCCCAGATATACAGAAGCATAGCAAGAAAAAAAGTTTACATTTTATATGCTGCTTTTATTTTTTGCCTTTTTAAAAAAATATTTTCTCAGTCATTGCAACTCCCAATCATGACCATAGGTGAATCAACTTCATAAAAGAAACAGTTTTCAAGATTTTAACTGTTACTGTCCTCAACTTGAGTTACTATTGGGGTTCCAAAGATCATGTGTTGTGAAAAGATTTCAGTGCAGAGTTCAGACACCACAGGCTCCTGTTAGTGTCCGTGGCCCTTGCACTAACCCTGCAGAGAACCAGAACAACCCAAGTCTGGCAGGTGGCTGGATGTCATCTGCTCCCACTCCAAGCAATGGATGTGCTGGACCCAAAATAAATACAATAAAGAAGCACAGCCCTTCCTTCTGAAATTGCTCTGATTGTAGACAGGCTTTTGTTGGCATCAGGAAGGTGGGATCAGGTTTGAGGCAAAAATAAATGCTTACATCAACCTCCATTTCCACCAACACCCATGGGCAATTCTACAATGACTTGGAGATCATATGTGCTAATGGAGTATCTTATTATTTGCTACATGTTTATGGCTATCTAGAAGACAGATAAACAGCACTTACATGTAGTTATAAATGTGCCTTTTAGGCAAAAAAAGAAAGCCCAAACTTCAGATTCATTTCCCAGTTACATTCAATTTTGTTGAAGTCACTTACTGGCCATTTTGATTCTACTGATATGGTTTAATTAAAACTGTAAGGTAATTAAGAAATGTGTATTTTGAATACATATGAGCACAAGAAGCATTTTTTTATTTAGTGAACACATGCAGATAGCCAGGATGGTCGCTAAATAAAGCCAAATATTACTTGCAAATGGAAGAAAAGTTCAGGGTATAAGCACATGAATATGAAAAAGGAGGCAATATGCCCATTTCATATTTGAGAATAATTTTCAACCTTCATTTTGCACAGTTTTAATAAAGTATTTTAAAAGTTACTTAATGGCTCATTGCTTTTCTATTAATTCCTGTGGGGAAGAAGCCCTTGAAGTTGGGCCTTTAGAATTGTTTTGAATTGCTATTCTTCATATAAAAAAAAATTTAACAAAATATTGACAGATTACAGCGATCATTAATCAATGTACTAATTTAAACATGCTGGAATTTATGTTTTGGGGACGGGAAAGAAAAAGCTCTGTAGAAATAAGAGTAATTCTTCACAAATTCCATATTTTAAGAGTAACCCTAGAGACCCTAAGATTCATCCACCCTATCCTTTAGCCACTGTACAAAATGCACATTTTTAATACAAGTTAATACACAACAGAGAACAAAAAAAAAAAGCCAAAAATAAAAAACTAAAACTGAAAAAGCTTTTGCACAGCAAGATTACACGAGGTCTTGGGCAGCTGTATTCACTGGCAGGCTTTGGAAGACCACTTTTTGAAGGTGGTGGTATTAACAATCCAGGTGGTAGTCTAGAGTCAGGAGAACTCCTAGGAGTAAGCGTAATGGAAGAGATATCTAAACAAGGAGGTGAATCCTCATTGTTACACCAGAAAAAAGTAGAGGGTCTTTGAAACATATGTTCATCATTATCACACTTTATGTGCAGCAGCTGAAAAGGAATCACAGAAAGAGAAAACATTCTGAGGAACAGAACGTGGTAACATCAGGGAAAGAAGAAAAAAATAAATACATTTCATATTTCAAAAAAGCTTGTCAGCAACTTGCTGTTCAGTGCCATAATTACAAGATACAGAACTTGAAAATGTTTCAACAAAATATAAGGATACGCCACATTAAGAGATAACCCAGTACCAATTGCAACAAAGACAACTTGATCCTTGATCATTACACCAAACAAAAGAAAGTCAATATCTTTCTGATATTGTGTGTGTGAGATGCTAAGAAATGTCTAAATCCAATAAGGTATCAACAATCTCTCACATCTGCACTTGTAAATTTGCAGCAGGCACAAGTCTGGGGAGAAGAGTTACTGTGCTGGTTAATGCACAAGTCAGGCTTTTCTCTAACTGATTGAGGAAAAATCTACCATTTATATCCCACCAATGCTGAAAGAACAGCTCATTACTGAACTAAAATCTTCAGAGGACAAATTAATCTTTGGATCTTAACAGAAGGGAATGCACAATTGTGCAGAAAGTTCTTCTTGACCACAGCCTAGAGTTCCACATGGAGAAGGCAGAAATTGTACATGGGCTGGAGGGGTCCTGCCTAAACCCTAAACCCAGTCCTGCTTAAACCCCTGTGACTGGCCCAGGCTGAGGCAGTAGCAGATGAGTGCAGCAAGAATTCTGAAGCTTGTTTTTGCTCCCCTTGTAGAGTTACACAAAGGATATGTCATGACTTTTTCATCAGAAGGTTGCATAACTTGGTAGAGCAGGATTCAATTATTTTAAACATTTTTTTTTTCAGTGTTATGTAGAAAACAAAACATTCAATATTCTTTTAATTTGAGTCTCAGCTTCTTTCTCAGCCAGATTAACCTGGCTAAGGGTATAGGTGACTAAAGGTAGCAACAATGCCATACTTGAGAATATCAAAATAACCCACAAAATTCCCTACGCAAAACTTGCAATTCAGCATTAAACAATAAAAAAATTATTTTCATCCCAACTTCAAAAATTTCCATACTGGAATTGTGAAATGGAGGGTCTGGAATGGTAATCAACAAAAAGAAATAAAAAAACCTACATGAGAGAATTTTGATTATTATTTCAAGAGTATCACCAGACTACAGGTAGAAGAGTTGCAGTGCTACTGTGCATTACTACCATGGAATCCTTGCTGCTGTACATAACTATGGGAAAAAAACCCTAGGCCTCAGAATAATAAAGGCTCAAAAAGACTAAACGTAGTGTAATTAAGAAAGCCAGATACTCTCCTGAAATGCAAAACAGCAAAGGATAAGTAGTTTTCATAAGAAGGCATGGATGTCACATGAAAAAATCACACAGAAAGCAGCACAATGCATATAGGACACCAAGCAGCAAAGCCATGAGGATATATTTGAACATATATCAAATCCAGGCAATGGAAAAATTCAATACAAAACCAGAACATACAGCCCTGGTGTCATCTGAGCCCTGAACTAGAGCAGTCCCAGGTCTCACAGTGACACTTAGGACACCACACACCTAGGGTGGTGAGCTTCCCACCACAGTTTTGGGAACACACCTGCTCAGGAAATGCATTGTCCCTGGGAATTCTTCATTTGCAGAGCAGCACAGAACCCATCAGGTGCTGGAGTGCTGCTCTGTGTCTCATCCCAGGGCCCAGCAGGACCTGCAAGGCTGATGGGCTTTCTGCTCACAGCCCTCTGGAGCCAAGCAGCCCAGAGACACCACAGGGGCAGCAGGGAAGTGTATTTATTCGACAACGGAAAACAGGGAATGTCACCAGATGCACAAAGTGCAGGGGGAGAAAGGCAGAGACCCTTATTATAAAGAATACAACCTGAAAATTAATACTCTTACACCGATTTATAAAGGAAGAACATATAGCAAAAATAATTAAATTGTCATTTTATACAGCAACTGTGCTTTGTCTGAGGTGCCCACTCAGACGTGCAGCAATAGTGGCATTGATACAATGTGTTCCATTTTGGGCCTCATTCCACTAACATAAGAAAACAACAAGAAATGATACTTCATGAAATTATCATACTAGTTCAGCAGACTTGTTCTCATGGTCAGATGTAACTACGTGCCAGCAAAAGATTTATTTTTGACTCATTCTACTGAGAAGGGTGCTGAAGATGCACTCTTGTGCTGCATCATATCAGAAAATGTAATGTGATTGAGGGTTTATTAATCAGGAAATTACTTCAAAATTGTTTCTTTTTACAAGGTGTCTCTAGACACTGATTGCAATCTCTGTGTCACACCCACATAGCAATCACTTAAGTGTGAATTAGAATAAGTTAGAAAACGGTTTTGCTGCTTAGAACATTCAAATTGGTAATATACAGAACCACCACAGCAGGAAACTGCAGCAACATGCCAGGGAATTGTGAGCAGCCTTGAACTGAAAATTATGCATTTAGTCAAGAACCTGCTCATTTCCTGAGATTTGGGACTACTAAGAACACTCACTCATCGATAATTTACTAATTCATAAAATACTGTATGAGCATTAGCAGTCCCATGCATTAACTACTACATCTTCAGTTCATTTAGTACGTTTTCAGTGACATGAAATCTGCCATAGGGAATTTCAAATCCATTTTCTTTAACATTATAAATGCAACAAAATTTTATACCCTTAGAAAGAAGTGTTCAAACAACTGAACACAGAATATAATAAATCTAAACAAGCTGAAGATAGGAAAAAAAATCCAAAAAAACCCACGTGCATTTTCCCACTTGGCAATCTTGGTGGAAACAGGAACCAAGTGATATGCATAAACACATTCCAAAATGGTTTTTGAAATCTGCATACAGCTCCAATGTCTGTCTTGGGGTTTTCCCGTGAGTGTGGTAAAGCTTTCCAGTGAGGGTCACAACAAAACTTTGGAGCAAAGGGCTAATCCATCAGTGTCTTTAATGCTCTACTGAAAAGTGGAGGAGTTTTGCACCACCTCCTTGTAGGAGTATGTATTCCACACTGCTTCCTTGGCAATATTTATGGTGCATGGAAGAACACTGATCCTTCTGGGGCTGCTTCTCCCAGCACCTCTTCCTGCTGCCCTCCAATTCAGCTTCCCCCACCTTTCAGCGCTCTCAGGGAGCCCTGGCAGCTTTGGGCAGCACTGGCAATGGGAACAGCAGCAAGGGAGACACGATGTGAGCCCACTGCGGCAGGGCTGTGCTGAGCTCTGGAGGCTGCAGTTGCACACAGCAGCAGCATCCAAAGCCTCCCGGGGACACAAACTGCAGCAGTGTCCCCACAGGCAAACAACAGGATGAGAATCCGATGGTCCTCACATAATCAAGACCAAATGCAAAACAGATCAGTGATTAAAGCATTGCCAAGCCACTGCAACAGATGAGAAGTAAACAAAAGATACACAAGTCACAGAAACTTGAGCAGTGCGTGCAAAGGAGTGAGACAAAGGAAACATTCCATGCCAACATTTCCCATGGCACATGGAAGCACAGCTTCAGAGGCAAACTAAGGAAACTCTTAGTTTGGGATTGCATGTCCTGGAAAGAGCCACTCAGGACACCAAAAAAAAGTGATAGTTCCTGTTGCATAACACTTCTGCATTGGCAAACACACTCATCTGAGGGACTAACTTCTCAAAGTTCTAGGAGCACCGCTCAAAACCATTGACCCAATTGCAGAAAGTATGATCACTAAGCAGTTTATTATTTACTGAATGTGCTGAGCAAACGTAAATCTAATTAGCTACAATATCCAGAGAGAAAAAGCGTGAAGATTGATAATTTGATATGCAACTTTCACAATATACTTTATGCAAAAGTGTTTCATTATACAATCCAGTTTTCTCTCTTTCATTTCCAGCTATGATCTCATTGCCTTAATGGCTTCTTTTATAGGTTGAGAAAGAAATTTTATTTTTCCCATTGAGTTTATGAACTGACAGAAAAAACACCTAAATTAGATTGATGTTGATTTGGCCATATGGCTAGATTTAGAGCAGCTACAGAAAAATTTTCATAGTGATACTAATAAGCAAGCAAGGAGAGAACCCTGACAGCAATTGTATCCCTGAAAAGCAGAACTTGATTGCTGTCAATGCTTTTCACCCATTTAAACACTGCAAAAATGCAAAGGGTAGGTGATTGTATTATTCACACACATAATTTGCACACATTTCACTCTGTCAGTATTATTTTAAAACATGTCCTCAAATAAATCCTTAGCTGGCCTGCAAAAAAAACTGCACTACATGCAAGATTCATCAAAAAAGCAGTTTTAGACTGAATTTCCCTTTGTACATCCCAATCAAGCCTTAAACTTGCACTACTTATAAACTGAACAGAAAAAAGTAATCCTTAAATTTTTAAATTATTACTACTTTCAATTTTCATATGCCAGTGGGATTTTTTTCTGGTTTTGTTTTTGATTTTTTTAATAGAGCAACCGAGAACTCACAATAAATTCCCTAATACTCCAATTCTACTATTACTTAAAACATAATTAATTAAAACAATTAGTAACATATATTTCAGCTGAAAATATGTTCTCTCTTATGAAATTATCAACTCAAAATATTTTTGATTCTGTGCTTAAAACGAAGCTTTAAGCTTACAATTCACTGCTTGCATTTTCTTCTCTTAGACCATATGTGGATTTTTGGATAGGTCATCAATTTGTACATATTTTAACGTGCAGGATCAGAAAATTAAGGTGTTGTAGTATTACGTTTTGCAAAGAAAGTGTTCAACACTATTACCCAAGAGTTCAATATGTAAGCACAGGGCAAACTCCTTTTAGAGAAGTGAATCTGTCAGCAAAGCCACACATTGCAGTCTAGCCTGGCATATCACATTTTGTCTATAGTTTGTGAAACTACAAAGACAAAATGTTTTAAAAACATTTTAGAAGTGAAAGAAGTAAAAGAAGTAAAAGAGGATCTGAATTTTAAGTATTGATCATATTACATTTGATCCTGAGCAAATGGTTTTATCTCATATTTAGCTACAAACCTATTTTCAGTGACAACAGGAAGTTAGAAAAGTTTATTTCAAATGACAGCCTGGATGTATCTGTTTAGAACTGAAACATGCTGAAACAATTTTTTTTTTTTAACTGGGCAGTGAACCAGATGCTTAAAACCATACATGTATTAAGTTATCCATCCACAGTTTAAAGATGCTCTCACATTCAATTTTCTTTTGATACTGAAGTGAAAACAGGAAATGTAATCTGGTCCTGCTTGTGGGAAAATGATCTGTGAATCAGAAGGCTGAGCTGTCAAAAAGAGCAGAATTGGCTTGCTTTTTAAAAAAAAGAAACAAAAAAAACCCAAGCCACAGAAATCAAGGATCAGTGATATAATACAAAAAAAAACCCCAAAAACCTGGTGCACTTTAAATGTCCTGAACTGTTTTCTCCTTTCTTAATTTAGTTATAAACTAATGGGAAGATGAATATGTGCAGAATGATTAATCAATGCACCTCAGAAGCAGGAATACAGAAATTATAGACTGGCACTGATGCAATGGTACCATGGCTTCCCAGTGACTGCCAGAAGTTAAAAACTAATGGGAAGATGAATGTGTGCAGAATGATTAATCAATGCAGGAACACAGAAATGATAGACTGGCACTGATGCAATGGTACCATGGCTTCCCAGTGACTGCCAGGTGGGAAAGCCATTCCCTCTGGATCACTGTCTTACCATACAAGGCATGACAGTGACATCATGTGCTGGCTGTCACAGCAGCGTGTCACACTACAGGTGCAATAAGTTCTAAAATCCCCTCAGCCTCTTCTCCTGGGGATGGAAATCACCCTCCTGATCGCTGCCAGCTCTGTGCCTGCTTAGACCCCCTGGCTTCCCTGGGGTGGCTCTGAGGGAGCAGAGGACACAGCCCAGAGTGGTGTTAATGTTTCTGCTTTTAACCATCTGTAGCTGGCTTCTGAAACAACATTTCTTTACAAACTGCTGTGATGCCAGTTAAAGGCATGTGTTCTTTTATCACATTAGGTGTCAAGGATCAAGGCTTCAACTTTCCTTTGGCCACTGAACAATCCCTTCCCCAGACCCCAGCACGAAGAAGAGCTGGACTGCCAGATAAAGAGCTCCAGCCATAAAAGATTAAAAAATATAAATAAATCAAAATGCTTATTATGGCTAAGAAAAGCTTCAGAAAGCTGTTGTATGGCACTGGCATCCCTGCATGATTCAACAGTGTGATATGAAAAATGCAAGAAAACTTAAAACTTACAGCTTAATAAATCTGTTCTAAATCATAAGGACAATTATCTTACTTTCACAGCATGTAATACCAAGACTATCTGCATGGAAGGAAGCTTTCCCCCATCCACCCAAAAGTGGGCTCAAAAAAGGTATTATTCCCTATGTTGGATATTCAGCTTCACTTAAGCTATTTTATTTCAGAAAATACTACCAGAACATCTGAAAAGTTTACTCTGACAAAATAATCACAATATAGATCTGTTACTTTAATTTTGAAGACAGAGCAGCAGCAGTACAGACATTTTTAGTTTAAATTCAGAAAAAATCTGCAATTATTTAGTTTAAAACCAAAGTGACCTTTTTCATTACAGTAATCATGTGGAAATAGGAAGAAAGAAATTTTTACACTACTTATTTTTTCTGATAGGAATTGAGACTTCGCAGAATCATACCTGAATTTATAGTTGATTCGAATGAAAAGAGAAAAAATTAATTGTAAAGTATAACAGGCAATCAATTGTCTTATGAATTGTTTGTAATTTTGTTCCTTCATACATATTTGTTGCTCACATGTTGCTCACAAAAGAAGATAGGTGTCATCACATTCACTGATTATTGACTGATAATCCTTTTAAGAAACTCAAACTGCCCTAAAAATATTTTATATTTATATGAACCATAATAATTTATCTTTAATAAATAATAGATATAATAAAATATATTAATTTTATTTATTAATTTGTATAAAATAAAATATTTTATCTTTTTCTCTGCATTGTATTCACTTGACAACCTCACCAGCCCATTCCTTCATTCATTCTCAACCTAACACTTGCACTGACATGGAGTTCCTCCTAAAGCTGCACACTTGAGAGCTCTGATTCACCATCTCCACAAGACCTGGTTTAAAAGGACCTGCCGAAAGCTGCCTCTTGCTGAGGTGCCAAAGTTGACAGTGCCTGGTGAGAACACCTGTGGGCCTGGAGTGAGAAAGACTTTTTCCTAAAAATTAGCTTGGTTTTGGTTGGTTGGTTTTGGTTTTTTTTTTTTACTTTTGGTTGCACAGCTGATGGAAGAATCCTGTAAAAGGAAAGGAGCTTCATCCAGACTCCTGCTTGAAGCGCACAACTGATGGAAGAATCCTGTAAAAGGAAAGGAGCTTCATCCAGACTCCTGCTTGAAGCAGGATCCAGTTTGCTGAGGCTGTTGAGAACCATGCTCAGGGAAGGTCCAGCATCTCCAAGAGCACAGAGAGCTCCAGCCTCCTGGGCATTCGGTTCCAACATTCATCCATTTACAGAAATATTTCATGTCAGAATGGATGCAGAACAGGCTCTTAGGTGGTTCTTACTGGAATTTTAAATATTTGTGACAGGAAATGTTTGGGGCTTTCCTTTTAAAGATTAAGGAGTAAATAAAGCAATAAAAGTCCAAATTAATAGCCAACAGTGATTATTGAAATGAATTCATTAATATCAATAATTATCTATAGTTTTGTTGCAGCACAAGTGCCATTTAAGCAATATGCTTATTCACTGTACCAATAGTAATTAATAATAAAAGACCCTCTAGGGAGAGAGTTTACAAGTGGCCATCAAATTAACAAATTTAGCTCTTACTCTTTAATATGGGATGCAAAACCATTTTCTTAAAAGACAAAAATCACAAACTGTGGGATATTTTGGGGGCATTATTAATTACTTTCTTTAATTTCTTTTGCTTAATGAAATGACAAAGTTCTTTAATTTAAATGAAAGAAAATAATTGTTTGCAACGCATTTTAGTGCCTATTTATTTGTATTCAAATATACATTTAGTTATTATATTCATAAATAAAAACAAACTGCCATCCTAATTGAAGAAAATAAAAAATGAAAGAATTGACTAACATGATATTAAATCTAGCATTAAAATTGATTACCTATCACTGAATGCTTCATAAGTGAGAAGACATTCATAATTTAACATGTTCACTGTGGTGGTTACACAGTACTTATAATTTATGGTGCTCTCTCCTCTAAGTAGATTTCAGTAAAATGAAATGGCATTCCCTCATGGGAACAAGCACCTGATCAACATAAAGTGTACAGACACTATTGAGAAACTGTTAGCACCACTGCAAATATGCTTTTACACTGCCCACATTTTTGAACAACCATTTAAGGTGAACATTCTGGGCAGGAACAAGGCAGGCCAAAATGCACAGCTGAAAAGCAGTTCCTCTTGTAAGATTTTGTCACACATACATTAAGAAATTGGATTTATTTTGATAGCTGCCTAAAGCTGTAAGATGGAACACACTTGTGAGAAGTGGGGTCATAAGGACCAGTCTGCAGTGCAACCTGCATTTTTGGAGGCCCTGCCTAGTTGTCAGGAAGTGCCAGCCAGCAACTTAAACAAGCTTCTGTCCTGATCACCTACAGGAACTGCAGAGCAGTTGGAATTTCCAGCGAGGAACCTACCCTTGCTCCTCTTTCCCAACCACCCAGCATTAGCTCCCAAAACCCCACGACCCCTTGGCAGGCAGGCAGGTTGTGATCACAGGTGACCATGTCCTTGTGACAAAGGTATGAGGAGCTCCCAAGCAGCATTTAGGAACCAGATCCTTTCAGTGCAGAACAGTTTTTCACCCTCAGCTGGCACATTCAGCTCTCTACTCGAGTGAGCTTTTATTGTCCTCAGGCAGCAACAAATAGGTATGGAAGGGCCACGGCTGGAGAGACTGCAATTTGCACTTCTGCTGGCTTGTCCCTCTGTCACTGCTAGTGACACTGCCCTTCAACAGGCATGCTACTTGATCACTGCATGTTAGTGGCAATCTCTGGGAACAGCAGGGATGCTCAGAATGATCATAAAGTGATTATAAATACAGAGCGACCTCAGACAGAAGAGTTATGTCAGGTACTTACTGGAGATGCATGTACTTGTGTTATTCTTAACTGGTTTTCCAAATCTTGAACTTTATTTTTCAGTTCTGCATTTTCAGTTTCTAATTCTTGAATCTACAAAGCAAGTGGTTATTCAACAGCTATTTGGATAGTCATGGATTTCAACAACAGCATCTACTGAGCATAAGTTTCATCAGAGATCTGGTGATTTAGAATCAAGGTTTAACTCCTTATCTGACTATAAACCATATTCAGTATCCTCCATATTTCAAACTTCCTTTTTTGTGTCCTTGGAGGACAGCAAAACAAAATATTTTAACTGATTATTTTCAGTCTTCTTTTTTTTTAACCTTAGCAATCTTAGAATAATGCTGGAAATTATGTTTCCACAAAAAGCAGCTAATAAAAATACAGCAGCACGTACTTTTATCTCTTAGAAAGAATAACATAGTTCAGAACTTACTCTTTTCTGTAAACCAGCAATTTGTTTCCTTGTTTCAACATCTTTTCCTCCGGATTCCAGAAATTTCCTGTAAGCTAAGTCAAATGCTTGACCAATTGTTAAAGTTATCTCTTCCGCCTTTACATAAAACATAAGACTGAAATTAGTAAATTAGGACTATTTGCTGGAGCTCCTTTCATTTCAGAATATCACAAAATAATTCATACCATGTATCATATCCAAAGGCTTTGCCCCATTCCCCCATGAAGCCAACACTAGAAAGGAGCATCACAAGCACCCTTCAGCAAAATGCCTTGACAAAATGCTATGAAAGGATGTAAAAATACTTTGGATAAAGAAAGGAGACAGGACAGGATATGGACATTGATCATATCCTATGATAATTATGTCTTCAATTTCCAAAAACACAGATACCATTCTGCACAATGGCTTTTCCTGATGATTTCTGAAGTATATACAGCCTGTTCAATCATGAAATAAAGTCTTTTAGATTTAATGAAATAATGTTTTCATGCCAGTGGATATTTTGACCCCTATTGATTTTAAATCTGGATTTCAACACTTATTTTTGTGAGTACTATAAAAGCTCTCTCAGGATACTGCAGACAAGTATTTAACTGCCCGATTATTTCCAACTATATATACCCAGAAATAATACCTGCAGATATTGCATTTGTATGTGCAAAGCATAATAATTTACTCGTTCTATGCTGATTCATACCCTATGTTATGATGTGTTTATACAGTCAGTGCAGAATATCTATGTCAAAAATGATGGGGGTAAAATAAGCCTACAGGAAGCTGCTGAAGGACACCAAAGTTTTAGGAATAAGTCATTCCAAAGCAGGACCAATAAAAGGTGAACATATGGACACACCATTTGCTTAGAACTTTAGCAGAGAAAGTAAACACAGTAAGGAATAACTGTTCTGTCTCAGATACTAGAGAATGTCTGTTGTTGTTGCCATGAGTTGTCTGGGAGTGCTTTGTGGTGTTAAACTTGAGAGATGTGGCAGGAAAAGGGGTGGACAAAGTAGGGAGTACTTTGCTGTGATAAAATAATTTTAAAAACCAAAAAAAAACAAACACACAAACCCCCCAACACTAAAACTAGAGACAGATGCATCAGCAGAAAAGCCTGCAAGGGTATGTGAGCCCCAGAGCTGCAGTAATCTTTGCAAACAGCTGTGCAAACATCTCAAGCCTGGTGGGATGGAGCCTGTTCTCCGAGAGTATTGCAGATGCTTCCCCCAAGTTGTTGAGCTGGGCCGTAATAGAAATTATCCCAGAAAACCACCTCAGATCACTGAAGAAAGGGACTCTTCCTTAAATTAATGCATCAAAGTTGCAAGACACCATAGTGGCATGAAAACCTGTGTCCCAGCTAAGAGGCAGGCTGTCTCTTGTTAGCCATTCCCACCCCATCTCAAGGCAGACCCATCAGCAGCACAGTGCCTTCGAGCCCCGCAGGGCGTCCCGTGTACTTACACACTTCTCACTGTCAAACACATAGCACAGGTGCTTATTGGATTCTGAGTCTTTGCAGATGAAAGTGAATATTCTCTTGTCAGTTTTGTCATCAGCACAAAAGGATATCCTGTGCAGCTGACAGTTGTGCTGGACCTCCTGCAAACAAACAGAAAGGCAATTTTTAAGAAATTCCTGCACTCGCTTAAGATAAAGATGCACGAAGGGAAGCTCTGGATTTCCTCATTACAGCAGGCAAGCTGCAGTAATGTTTTTGAACGTCTCTTGTTGCAATGAGAGCACCCAAAATGGACTTAAAGCATAACAGAAGTTAGCAAACTCATCTCCTAAAAACTGCTCCTGAGCAGGCAAGCTGCAGTAATGTTTTTGAATGTCTCTTGTTGCAATAAGAGCACCCAAAAATGGACTTAAAGCATAACAGAAGTTAGCAAACTCATCTCCTAAAAACTGCTCCTGTTTTTACTGAATGTAAACAGAAAGTTTATTTGGACAGCGTTTATCTGGAAGTGTTTATTGGACAGCAATTTCTGTTCTAGAAAATTGATTTTACTGTTGCTTTGCATCTCTCTGCAATTTATTTAGGGCCTGATTATGTAAAGTAATCTGTGCACTTCCAGGTGCACAAGATCTTTAAATTTCATCATCTCCCAAGGTTTGTTAAAATGGATTTACTGAAATGGGTCCTTATTTTGCTACATTAAATACAGAAAACAGAAATAAAATGATTTTGCTAACCAAGTAAAGAGAAATAAATCTGACACACAAATACTTGTTTACTTGAGGTGCCACAATCAGCTTTTAAGCATTATTATTTGTATATTTTTGCTACTGTATTTAATTTTCCATTAAAAATCAATTTCCAGCTATTTAAAAAGTTGCAATAGTTGCAATGGCTCTGCTCTTCAGTTGCAAGAGCTTGACAAGACTGGAGTAAACTATCTCAGCTATTTTTTGTTGTTTTTCTTCAACAAGTCTCTTCTTGGTATTTTATTTTATTTGGCTTATTACATGGGAAAGCAGTATTTACTTTAAAGGAAAATATGCCTTTTAGATGTGAACTATTGTCTATTAAAAAATGTGCAACACTAGGGTTCCCAGTTTGCTGTAAGCCCATAAGCAAGGCCATGCCCCCTCTGCACACAACCGCATAGCCAAAAAATGCACCCTATGGGCAATCTTTTGCCCTTGCCCCCAGTGAGTTCATTTTCTCAGTCTTTACAGCTGTTCTGAGTATTCAGTTTCTCCCATGTCCCAAATCCCCATCCTGTGGTAGCTCTTTAAAACACAGAAATAATACAACATGCTTGCCCTGGCAAGGTTTACAGATCCATATAATTATTTTATATCGTTTAAGGACAGAATCACTTTTTTATAATCCTTTTTTTGAGTGCTAAGTATAGAATCAGGTCCTGATATATGAGCTGGCCTCCTGTTCCTACTGCCATTAATAGTCACTATCTAAAACCCAATATTCCTACTGAAGTGCTTTATTTGAAAAACACACTGCAAAAAAGGCTTTAATTAGCACTGATAACATGAAATTGAATTTCCTAAAGCATTTATAATGCAAAAAGAAGGAAAACTCAATTGAAATTTACATGCAGCTACAAGAAATGAAGTGGGTGAGATAAAAAGACTGCTCACAGTTGATTACTACTTGAGTTGTAATAACAACATTGCTAAGAGATTAGAATGTTCCTACTCCCCCAGGAACATATATCCCACAGATTTCTGTTAATCTCTGCAGGAAGACTAAGATCTTTTGGCATTTCAAACTGTTATTTTAAAACATTTTTTTCCAGGATATGGGGTTTAGCACCCCAATCTGCCCTACCGCAAAAGGAAGATGCAAAAAAACTCCAATTAAAGTTGACATGGATATTTCTTGTCCCCTCGGCTTCTGTGTGAACTGTTGAGTTCTGGTTGTGTGAAGAGTCTGAAGCAAAAATGGGCTGCAAACATCTGTAGCTTTGAACTACAGCTACCATTTGAGAAAAGGCACTGCCACTGCCTGAATAAATCAATTACTCCACAATTAAGAAGCAGGAACAAAAGAATCTTCCAAATTAAATATTCAACATATATATGGAAAGGTTTTTATTATATGCAGTGTCATATTTATTCTGCATATTTATTATAAATATTATTCATATTTATTATGCATATTCATGCAGCGTCAAACATTTATTTAGCTCATTGTCTTCATCTTCCTTAAAGTTTAGAAGTCCTGCTGTGAATGGATTAAAAAAATTGAACGTCATGTTAGCTACAGTGTGCCTTCAGGACCATCATGTACCTTCCTGGGAAGATGTCACCCAGGTGTTGTAAACAAAACATGGTATTTTGGAAGATTTTTTCCACCAACAGAATGATTTTTTAATAATACTTTAAAAAATACAAAACAATGAAAACCTTAAAACCAGTGAAACAAATATTTACTAGTTTAGCATGCAAAAAACCCCATGTACGTTTCTTACCTTTGTTTTTGGATCTAGAATTTTTACACCATAGATTGAGATTTGTAACTCAACTTTGGGTGTCTTCTGGCCTTCAGATTTCTTGATATGTCTTGCAAACTGAAACATGAAAAACACAACAGAAATCACATTAATAGTAAGTTTGTTTTTATTAAATCTCATTTTCTCTCAACTCCCTCCACCTGAAGTTGTTTCCTTCCTTTTTCAATAAGCTTCCCATAAACAACACCAACTATTCCAAGAGACTCAGCTGGGCACAAACCAACATTTCTAACTACACACTAGAGAATGTTCCTAAAATTCAGGAAGAAGCATTTTAAAATTACTTAGCACATTCCCCCAAAACTTTTATCTGCTTTTTATGCACTTAATTGAAGATTTTGCATGAGATTTCTCTGAGAAGCAGCAGAAACATGAACATATTCAGTTTAGCAGCTGCCTGGTTGTTGAGCAGGGAACATGTTTATGTCTTCCACACCACTCTATTTCTAAACTCACTTCCATACTTGTGCATGGAGGGCACTTCCAGATGCTCCTTTAAGACATTCCAGCAGTTGCTTTAAACAGGGTCAGTTTGAAAACACTAGAGTTGTCAACACCTAAGAAGTACTTGATCTGTTTTTTTCTCAGAATTTATCTAGCCACTAGATGGTGGCTAGACAGCACTTTATATGCCTGGGTTGGGTAATAATTCCTATCCAATGCACTTTCCATCCTTTTCAAGACTTACCTTTCTCTCTTTCTCTTGTGAATACCATCTATAAAATCAGCACAGTATCTCAAATTTGCTCCTGCATGACAATTAAGAAGAACCCTAAATTTGGGTACCTTTCTTAGGAAATATATATGATTGCTCCATATTTTCCTCCGTTACCAGAGCAAAATGTTGCGCTTTTACTCCCAAGTCTCTGACAGCCTGGAATGGCATTTTCAAATGCATAAATAAGGATGATGACCCACTAAAGGCCAGAAGTTGGAGTCTCTGTGTCAGAGCTCTATGTTTGAACACATGATCCTCAACAGTCCCATTCCAGAATAATCTGGGTGTGCAATCCCCACCAGTACAAGAACTCTGTGTCAGAAGCCAGTGTGGACAATGGCTTTCAGTGCCATCAAGAATCCAGAGTGTCACCAATGGTGCTGACCTATCAGACCTGAAAGACACCAGCCTGAATTGCCTTGTGATTGTGAGGTGCTCAGCTGTAGCCAACTGACACCTCTCCCTCAAATCCTTAAAAACTCTGATCACAATTAATTATTTATTTGAAAGTTCAGGGTTTGGATTTTTGCTCTGATCCTTTTCCAACCAGTTCTTGGAAAATTTTCCCATAACACAAGTGCTTTACAGAATATGACTGTCAATCTGTTATTTCATTCTGTTTATGGGCAGCTTCATTCATGGCAAATTATTAACTAGTTTGCAGATGACCCTAAAAACACAAAATGAGCCTGTTTTTCCCTTCTTCTCAATTTTATTCCTCATTTTGAAGGCATACCTATTGGACTTTTAATAATTAAACTTTAATTTAAAATTAATCTTATTAACTTCACACAGTAACAGGATTTACCCAGAGACTTCATTACTGATTAATGCACCCCAATACCTGATAACTATTACACACTTGCTAAAACAAACAGCACCCTCCCACCTCAAAACCCCCCAAAATTATCCCCCATCTAAATCACTCTGTGCCATTCTCAAAACCAACTCTTAAATAGAAATACCTATTTTGCATTTAAACATCCAGAAATGCCACAGTCACGGGCCAAGTATTTTATAAAATATAAAGTATTTTATATTTCATACAGGATGATTTACTTGTGAAAACCAACTAGTTGAGAGTCAAGAAAATATAATTTCTAGTTCTGCCTCTTCAGAACCATGCATATGCTTCTTGCAACACATCCTTTTCCCATCCTGTATTTCACTTCAAGCCCGTGTCTTGCTATATACACTTTTTATACACATTAATCCCTGTATTTTTATTTTGGTATACCATTCCATATGCATATTTTAATTTTTAAAAAAGACATTTTATAGAAAATAAAATTTTAAAAAACATAACTGCTGGTTTTCAGCATTTTGTCAAATGACATCTGTTGAGTTGAAAAACAATTAAAATGCACTACAGAGAAAAAATATGCTTTATTTAATAAAAATCACTCATTAAACCACACAAAATCTGTCCTAGATTTTATACTGCAAATTTAGCCTTTAGTCTGTGCTTAAAGAAAAAAAAAGATAGAGCAACCATTGTTTCATTTCCACAGATTTTTTTTCCAAGATGAATATAAAATTTAAAGTGTCTTTAGAAAATTTTCAGATCATGGATTTATTCATTAGTAGCATCCAGCAGCTTTCCTCTCTGATTTGTAATTTCCTACTGTCCCTTCAGTGGGTGGGACTTGGAGGACATGTGTGATCCCTTTTCTCAGTACTCTGCCAGGTCAAATGGAATTATTACAAAATCCAAAGATCACCCAGACAGTTTGGACATCTCAATTCCCAATGTACTCGATGGTGCCCATGGAACAGATAACCATGGGACACAACTCATCCTGAAACAGCCTGGAACTCCAGCAAATCCTGACCTTTTGGAAATGTCCCTTTGCAAACAAGCCATGGACGAGAATTTCTGTGCAGTAGTGAAGAAAAAGCACAAATACTGTTGGATTTTACTGCATGAAACTCATGGTATATATTGAGAATGATTATGGAATGTTTGATTTTCCAACAGCAATCATCTGAGAGTCTCAAAAAACAGCTACAACATGAAAAAGCTGTAGTTTTTAAAGAAGTTTTAAAGAATAAGGTTTTAAAGTAAATGATGTGAATAGCTTGCACAAGTTTTAGAACAGCTGGCCAAAGCTTGCTCCAAGTAGTCAAGAAGACTTACAACACTGAGGAAGTTCCAGAAGGCAGTTCTGTGCCAATTCCAAAAAAAAGCGTGAACAAACTGACCCTACCACGTCTCCACTCTCAAAAAGCAGAAATCCAGTTCAAGAACTAGAGAATTCAAGTGAGATTAAATTAATGATGATCAATATTTTACAAAAAATGCAGCTTGTCCAAGTAGACAAAGATTCTGCATTGTGTATGCCACTTATATTTAAGAAAGTGAAGCAACAGAAAGAAAGCATGAGTTAAGTTAGTTACATTAGTGTCCAGATGCAGTTATAAACAGGAAATTGTCATTGGGAAGATATGTCTCTAATGTATTCCAGCAGGGTTTATTTCTTAAGCATGACATTATTGAACAATGACCAGGAGAAAAAAAATTACTGATAAAATCTGCTAGCAGAAAAAATAAGAGGGGAAAGAAAGGGGAGAAAACAAACTAATGATCTGAAATCTAAATTTGCTACAGAGGAAACTTGCAGCCCACAAAGACTGATGAAGGGGCAAATAACAGAGAGAAGCCTCATCAACCAGAGCACCACAGGCTGGTATCCCAACACAGCCCCTTGTTTTCCTACAAGCAATGCTGCAAATCCCACACATGGCAACAAACTTTGGTTCTTGGGAGACAACCCTGTGAGGATAGAAAAATGAAGTCTGATAACATGGGAGGACTTCCACTAACTGAGGACCTTCTCATGAAACCAAAACTGGGAAGGTGTTTCAAAGAGATCCTTAAGATGACAACCGTGGCTGCACTGCATCAGCTGCTTGTGAGAAAACAAATGTTATCTGCTGAGGGTTTCAAATGCAGAAGGATGTTGACAAAATAGAGAAAAAATTCACAGGATATTTAGCAAAGTTAGATGAAAGCTGGAAAACCCACTTTAAGACACTCCATAAAATCAAGGCCAGGACAATGGCAAAAGCAACCAAGCACCAAAGAACCCCTTTCATACAGACACCCTAACAAATGAGCTTTTTAATCAAAGGTTTACTGGATACCGTGAACACACAAAGATTAATTCAGAAAATCTGTGGCAGTTCCTTTCTTAGCATTTTTCCTGCCTACTGTCCTGTGCAATAACAGACAGCACACAGATACTGATCAGCATTTTTTTTTCTAGCTGATATTCTCCAGAATACCTCACTCAGCCACCTCTAAAACCTGTGCGGTGTTTGAACAGCACTTCCCATCACTGAGTCAGGTATCAGGAATTTTTTTCTTTATTTATTTCTAGTCTTTTCTTCTACCTAAGGAGGACCCCAAGGGACCTCTGGACATGGGAGAAGTACAAACATTATATTTCCTATCAGCATACATTTGAAAACAATATTTGTATCCCACACAGTAACAAGATTATTTAAGAGGGTAAAAATCCGCAGCCTCCCATTGGCATCAAAATGGAAAATGATATAAAATTATAATGAATCACAGCATGGCTTGGGAAGAGACATGATGGGCCAAATTCTTAAACTGTTAGTTTATACATATAATGTTCTCAGGCACGAACCCCAGGTTTCGTCCAGCTCAGTGGGATGGGCTAGTTTATGTTCAGCTGCATCAGAATTAACATTTTATTTTCATGGCATTTTTAGGGAAAGGAACAGATACAAATAAACCTATTTTCTACAGTTTAACTTAGCTTTAAAAATAAAAAAACTGAAAAACCATCCATATATTTTATAATTTATCACAGCATCAGGGAAAAATGCATACTCTAAGAGTGCTATTAAAATTAAACTTGATGTGTTTAGGTATCAAGTATTATCAAAGCACAAACAAAAATGCCATGAAGAAAAAAAAAAAAAAAATCTCGTTTTCAAGACAGCCAGGAACTGGAGCTAAAGAATTTATTGTTAAGACTAATTACCTCTATAGATCTATAAATCAATTAAGCCATGCAAACAAAATTATGTTCTTCTCTTCAATATTTACACCTCCCTGCACTATTTAAGATTTAATTAAAAATAGTTGAGACATCAAAATGGAAGACATTCATGTGATTTGGATGCTAATCTCCATCCCAGGAAAGAGAGGTTCAACTCCTTCATTTAATGCAGGTGACCAGTGACAAATCAGACATTGCACTTCACACCCTGAAAGAGCCCTGGTTTAGGGCAGGGTCGTTGGATAAGCTGGGAAACAGCTTTATAACCACTCTTGGAGAAGATGCTTTTCCTCCTTTTTTCATTACAACATTCATTCTAAGGAAGCATGTCTGAAAAAATCCAACAGGCCCCATTTTTTTTTTTGCAGTGCCTTCATGCCATCTAATTCTTCATGTTATGGTCCAAACTCTCGTGGACATTTGATGTGGGCATAATGAAATTATGGCTTCTGAAAAACAGCTGGCAAGAGGTAGAAAAGGGTGAAATGATATGCGAAATTATTCTCTCAATAATCATCTGGGCAGGGAAAAAGCCCAGAAGTGCATGTCTATGGAATAGGTTGTATTTTATTTTCCAGACACACACTGGACTGAGGGGAAGGCTATCCATCTATCATCCACAGTGTAGAAGACAATACACTGCAGTCTTTCTTCCATCTCTCAGTTCCTTACATATTTTTTATGTTTTGTTGTATTTAGGGGTGGGCTGCTTTGTTGTTGCTGTTTTGAGATCTTGTGCTTATTTCACCCAGTGCCATGGAGGTTTTTTTGTGATAGGTTTTTTGATTCTTTTTCCTGGTTGGTTGGTTTTGGTTGATTTTTTTGGGGGTGGGGGGTAGGGGAAGGGGCAGTGTTTAATTTTATGTTTTTTGAGAGGCAGGGTAAACAGGCATTTTCTTATTCAGCTCTTCTCATCTGATGTGCTTTGGTCTTCAGGATGTCCTTGACTGGCACTGAACCACAAATTCTGCTTTCTGCAGTACTTCAAAGTACTTCCAGTCATGGCTGGAAGGCTTGGATGCAAATCTCTTTATCCCAATATTAAAACCTTCTCTGTACTCCACCCTCCTCCTCCGTCCTTTCAATAACAAATGAAACTGAGCTTTAACATGGGAGGGAGCTCAGAACAACATCCATGGATGGTCCTTTAAGGGCAGCAGCAGGACAGCATCACTGCATGTGTGGAAGTGTGTGAACGAGCACTCTTCACTCTGTGTATCCTTAGAGGTCAAGGACATGATGAAAAATATTTCAAGCGGTTTCAAAGTGATTCATTCTATTTGCATTTTGTCTGGTCATCTCCACTTACAGAAGAAATGTGGAAGAAAAAAAGGATAACAAATTGAAAGCTGGTAAGCAAACAGCCTTCAGTTTGGCCCTCACAAAACATCCCTTAGAAGACTGTAGAAGAAACAGCCCAAAAGTCAGGTGTTTATTCTGGTTTTTCTCTAACATTCCTCCATGCATCTTTCTTACCACTGCTCTGGTTATGCTGCTCCTTCCATCAGCCATGCTGCTCTTTCTACCTGTTTCCACTTCTGGCAACCCTCCAACACTTAATAAGAAGGATCAAATTCATTCTTACAGTCTGATTGAGAAGTTACAAACCTCATTAATCAAGGAAAGTAAGAATTTCATTTAATAAAGTGTGATTTGACAACATGTAGACATTTGAGTACCATAGGCATGTTTGGGTACAGCATCTGGGTGCCATGTGCTTTAGCTTTTGTTTCATTCTAGAAACCAGTTTAGCTAGAAAACTCGAAGGAAAACATGTTTTGTAATAAATTATGATAATAGTTCTTATCATCTTACAAATAAATAAACAAACACATTGTAAAACATTCGTGTTCAAGTTTTTTCTCTCTCCTTCAGTACAGCTCCAAGCACTTGGAAAACACAAGGGGAAATCCTACCTACATAAAGCCACTGGAGAATCCTCTAGAAAAATTAAACATAGTTGTTTGAAAAAAATAAATCTTCTAACTGCAACTGTCCCAGAAAAATTGTCAAGAAAATATAAAAGTCGTATTTGGGACAAAAGTACAAAGAAGCATCAAGAAAAAGTTTGTCCAAGATACTTTATGTTTCTGTAGAACATCAGCTCCATCTGCTGGGAAAAATCAGTTTGTGGAATGGCAGCTGCAGTTTCTGTGCTGGGCAACCCAAGTTTTTGTGCTGAGTTAAGGGCTTTCAGATGATTTAGAGAAGTAAACAGCTGTACATCAAATCTTGACTCTGACAGTTTGGTGACATCAAGAGCTTAAGAAAAATGATTTCTGGTGGCTGCATTTCATGGTCCGTGTATCACTGGGGCATGTGACTTCAAAAGCGTATTAGAGTGATGTATGTCGCTTGTAAAAATAGCTCTAAACATTAAGAAAACGTCAATTGTTTTTCTGCCAGCTATTAATTTTAATTTAAAAAAAATTATGATCAATAACATTGCAATTAAAAGCAAATCCAGATAATTTAAAAATATAAAAATGACAGCAGAAGCTACATGTGTTTTAAAAACTCTCCAACCACCAAACTACTTTATATTTCTTCAACATTTCTTTCAATATGACATGAGTTTTTTGAGCTGTTTTAACTGCTTAAAAATTTTCAATTAGCATTTTATAAAAACAAATTCCAGATGTGTGCTAGATACAAAAATCCAGTACCTCTAGGCTTCTCTTCAAAAACTACAGTTGCACTATGTAACTCAGTCATCAAATGAGTATTCAATTAATTGGGGATTGTTTCAAACATAAAAGCGTTTTCATTGCTCTCTGAATTCTGTTCCAAGATTTTTCAAGTCCTTCCGAAAGTCATGCTTATTTACTTTGGAAGGTCTCTAATAAACTTGTGATTATGTAAGATCACATGCAATACTTGATATCTAAGCTACAAAATTCCAAACGTGAAGAAAATAATGTAAAATTCTGGCAGCAGCTATTCAGACTTCTACCTCCAAGGTGGTTTATTTAGGAAATGTATGTAGAACGTTAGGGCAGGTACAGTGGCACCACAAACACACACACCACATTTCTGGCTTTGCCCACACTTCTGAGAGCAGTTATTTGAAATCCTTTTGGACCCTCTTTCAGAGAGGAAACAATTTCCACGTGTGAAATGATAGAATTCAACACACCCAAAGCTTCCAGTGATCAGTGAGAGCCCAGGCCCAGCCTGGGGTTCCACCAGTGAGACAGAGACACTCAGCATTTGGTTTATTCAGGAGTCCAATGAAACACCATTAAAACAGAAGCAAGGCTGCTCCATAGCAAGATATCACTGTGGCAGATTTCTGCACAGAATTGAATTTTCTGGGGGTATTGGAATTTTATAAAGACAAACTACAACCTGTGCAAACAGACCCACACATTTTGTTTCCACTGATAGAATGCTGCAATGCTTTAAAAAGGGTCAAACTTAGCCTAAAACACTTGAAAACAACTGGGCAATAATGACTCTGACTATCTGCAGAACAATAATGTCTTTTTGGCATAAAACACTTCAAGTATCAGCTAAATGAATCTTTAAAGGCAGCTGTACTATTTTGGTAGAGTGAAAACAACAGCAAAGAATGTGTTTTAATACCTTAATAAGATTACTGATTCATCTTATAAAGATGGCTTTCTCAAGGGAAAACTGAGCCTTAAAAGCTGAGCTGCATGAGTAGCCTCATGTTTCCTTTCTGCATTTATTTAGTATGGTAATAACACAATCAATTTTTTCAGTATTGACTCTCCACGTTTCCTGCCCATTTCCATGGAACCCATTTAAACAAATAATGAAAAGCTTGCAAAAAGTTATGAAAAATGCAGTAGTAGGGAGAAAGATTTCTACATCTAAGTAAACTGAAGGGCCAATAGCTCAGAGCAGCTAAGCATGAAGCAATTCCACAGGAACAAGGCAGTGGAGTGGACTGGAACAATCAGCAATCCCTGCCCCAGCTCACAGTGTCTGCAGAGCTCTGAGCAGTCAAGGCAAAGCCAAGTTAAATGAAAACAATCCTCAACAAGTCATTGCACTCAGGTATTTTTAGTTGCCCACCGAGTCCCTTGGTGCCTAAGCACATGTAGCCAAGAGGAAATTGCAAAAGTCTGATTTTCTCAGCCACAGCTGGGGATGGCAGCTGAAACAAATTCTTGTTACCTCAGCTTGTATTAATGAAGCCCTAAACAAGCCCAAAGAAGCAGTATTAGGCATTGAAGTACATAAACTTTATAAATATTTCTCAGTTATTGTAAAATCTGTAGGACAATTAAATATTGTACACAGCAGAACACCTGACCATACTGACATAATAAGGAAGAACCCACACACTAAAGAGAATTCACTTCTGGAGCCAGTGAATTCACCTAGAAAATCTGCAAAGTGTCTTAGAAAAGAGAGTAAGAGTACATTCCATTTATGTTTCATTAAAAATTCTTACCTTTAATTTTCTAACAGCATCTCTTACAACTTCTGTGCCTTTGGGCTGCTCCACTTCTGTACTGCCTAGAAACTGAAAATATTGTAATTTGTGAGCAGTAAATTATGCATTTAAAGGCCTAATCAACTGGAGTAATCTTATTTCCCAATTATTTTCAAGCAGTATTTTGGAAAGGCAATTGTTCCAGTAGTTGATAAATTAAAAAATCTTCACACAGCTATTTCTAATGAAGAGAATAACAAGAATTACATTCTATACTAATATTAGCATTATCAAAATTGACTTTAAAAAACCATCCTATACACATCTGTAAATTAGAAGTTCAAGTACCTTTTTCCACAGGGAAATTACCACTTTTGTAACAACTCTTTTTAGAAAATAATAAAAAAATGCAGACAAAATACAGATGGAAAATACTTCCCATGAATCAATATGAGCCAATCATTTGGATTCTGTCACTAAAACATTCATACAAGACATAAATTAAAAGAACTGACTTTTCCTCTCAGAGCTGCTTGGTATAGTAACATAGATTTACAGGAACTAAGCTCCAGCTTATGTAAAACAAGAGTCATATTTAAGTAGTTTCTATTACAATTCATATTTTTACCAAGTAAGGCTTTAATAAAAACCAAACATGCTTTCACATATAAAGCATAATATTGCAAAAGGACCTTATGTCTTTATTTGTACACTGAAATGCTTTTGTTTTCTGTACAGTCACACTTGCCTTCTACTGTACTGTTACAAAAGGTATGATAATTCTGCCTGAAACCCATCTGTGTGATGCACTAATTGATTTTCTGTTGCCCAGTTTTCACACTGAAGTACAGTTAAGTTACATCATGTACATATACATGCTGAAATAACTCTAGGGAAAAAAATCCTCCTTTTTTCCCAAAGTACAGTTTTCTGTGTACCATGACACACAGAGGCATGTGCCATTTTTAAGTCCCAGCCATTTTGAAAGGGATTTAAATTTGCCAAGATATAGACAATTTAAACAGAGTAACTCTGGAGTTTTTAGTTCTATTAAACCTTCCAACATGTTTAGTGCAGTCAGTGTGCTCAGGGTACTCCTGCAAAGAAACTGTGCAGCTCCACCCATGATGAAGCCTCATTAGACATTTGCTACTGACTCAGAAATATGACAGGCCACCTTGAAAACAACAGTGTAAATCAAAACACCACACACTGTCTGTCAATATTCTCTATGATTACACTTCTCCAGCCAGGAGACCAAGGCTTTGGAAGAACAGAGCAGAAGGCTCTGCTCTGCTATTGATTTGATGTCCTTCACACAACAACTCTGATGACTTCAGACCAAGGGGGTGATTTTGTCTGGAAAAGTGAGGGCTGCACAAAATGCATGTAGAGAAAGAAAAATTATTCTTGGACATGATGGATACTGCACATGACAGAGACAGAAAGGGAAAGATGAGTGTGAGCAAAAAAACCCCAAACCTGCAGTTAAGATAAGATGAGAGTCTAAGAGGAAGGATGAAACACCAACATTGCCAGATATCTGCACACAAGCATACTTCTATCCACCACACCTGGCAGAACACAAAAGGCAGAACTATAATTGCTGTAGGTTTGTGAGCAGCTCAAGGATAACCAGAACAGAAATCCTGTAGAAACACAGGAAACAAGAGCTGCAGGCATGGACAAGGTTCAGTGAGTAGAGCACAGGTCACTGCTGCCCATGGAGAAGCTGAGAGAGATGCTTCATCCCTGGCTGTTTCCTAATCCTTGTGCTGTTTTCAAACTGGCAGCACCAGTATCAGTGTAGGCAGCCCAGTACTTCTCAATACTTCAGAGCCAGGCCTCTGGTGGAACTGGGTCATGCACACAAAGAGGTGCCTCAGGTTATGCTGCCTTGCCTGCAGCTGCTTCTCCAGAAGGGCACAGGGCTGCCCTACATTTTTTATTTACTTACTTCCATCCAGATGACCAAGCTCTGATAAAGCTAAGAAAGAGTCAGTCATTTCCCCAGAACTCTCCTCCCAGCTCTCTGCTTCACAGTGCAAGAAGGATGAAGGTATCTTTGCTGTATTCAGTAAATCCCAGCAGCAGACCAATCTTTCCACACACAGTACCTTCCCACAAATACAGTTTTCCCAGAAGCTTGTACCTCATGCTAATTCACACTACTGCCTCAGAAAATGTAAGCATCAAATTAAGCTTCTGCCACAGCTGGGGAACCTTTTAAATGTCACTGAATTTAAAGCTTATAGTAATGTTCCCCAAACCAGAAATTACCATTTATGATCATGGAGAGGAGGGAGAAGTAGATTTCTAAGCAGAAAGATAAACTGCTGAAAGCACTGTAAAAGACTGACAAAACCTGAAGAAAAATTCATTGTGTTTGTTCAGTAAGTTACAAAAAAATAAATAACCAAGACTCAGAATACAGAAACACCATGAGCCTTATATCAGCATTTACAGAACATAACCCACTAGAATTCCATAAGCCACTCACACTCTTCCAGATGAGTGTTGGTTTTGACATTAAGCATCACCACTGAAATTTCTATTGCTCTCAGCAGTTTTGAACAGGATGTCGAATTCAAGCTTGTGCATAATAAAATATTAAGCATAGGTAAATAATTAGGACACATTTAATCCAGATAGAAGGAAGACTTGTAACTTAAGTGTTAATACCATGAAAAATTACAAGGCTATACTATGGATTGCACTGTTTCTATATATTTCTAACTCTTTAAATTGAACTGTACTTTTTGTTAATTCAGGTGTTTTAAAATTGCTTACACATTTCATGCTTGACCTCCCTTCTTAATTTCTTGGTAAGAGTAATAAAAAGAAAACCAGCAATTAAGTGGAAATATTCTGAATATTTGTATTAATTGGACTGTTCTGTTTGGGGAAGAATATAGACAGAATTTCAGACCAAGACAGGTTTGTAACAAAAGAATGACTATGCAATAAAGCCTTAACAAACAGCTAATGTTTTAATGGGAGGCTTTTATTGCTTGCTTTTTCATCTGCTCTGTACCTTTCCTGTCTCATCTATCATAATTTTCTGTTTAATATGAGGTACAGATTTCTGTGGTATTAATGATGATAGTTAAGCTAAGCAAACAGATGCATTTGCAAAGCTGGGGCTTCAGCTGCCAAGGTCACTGTGCACCAGGGTTTCTGGGGGAAGCCACCAACAACTAACTCACCACCCTCATGAAATGGGAAGGTGGCCACTTCATCATGGTCCTTTCAGCAGATTTTTCTCACCAAATCTCACACAAACACAGAGAACAAATATTTGTTATGTCAGGAAGTTGGTCCAGCTGTGGCATGAATATTACAATTATTCAGCATGGAAGAGTTTCTGCAACAAAAATTTCAGAGCAAAAGGGGTAAATGTGAAATCTCCCTTTCCAAGCCCAGGCTCCTTTAGGCAGCAGTACTGATTCAGAGTTTTAGATGGGAACTTGGCAAGTCAGTGTTTGTTTTCAGCATTTGAGGTTCCCTTCTGCAACTTGACTCACGCAAAATAACCAGCATAAGAAACCTAAGTGGCTCCTGAGAGTCAAGCTAACATAGATTCCCACTGCAGAAGAGGGAAACAGAAAATAACAGTTTCCCTTTAGATCATTCACTATTAATCTTAAATGCAAACTAATAATGGCATTAAGTGCTTAAGGGTTCTTTACATAAGTAAAGTGTTCAAATACATAATACAGCTGAAAAATGTTTACATATGACTGCTACATCTATTTACTGTCTGCAGCTAGCAAAAAGATTATTCTTGAGGTTGGTGTACTCCATGCATAATATGTCTACTCAGACACAATACATAATTTAGACATGCCATAAGACTCAAGTATTTATGTATTGTTTACTATTAAGTTCATCATGATCATACCGAATTTTTATTGGATACTTTAAAAAGTTGGAAGAAGATGACATTTAATATTTTGTATAACATAAAGCAAGCCAAAACAATTTTCTTTACCACACGTTCTTCACTGCAGTCTGCTGTTCTTCCAAACATATTCCCTACAAAACTGACTAGCAGTTATTTTCCTAATATATTACTCATTCTCATTTCACTTGCAGCTGTCTGCAATCAGATATAACTCGTATGAGGCCAACAGATCCTATCAGTCAGGACCATTTAAGTGTTCCTTTAATGTACAGTGATGCTTGCCATGAAGAAAGTGAGCTGTTGGCCAGCCACATACAAGACAAACTCCTCAGATCAAACTGTTTCTAATCTAATATTAGCAGACAACCAGATGCATTCACTCCACATGCAAAGATTTGCAAGATAATGCAGTTGCAAAGAATTAACAGACACTATTTCAACATATTAAATCAACAGAGGTTTTATCACTGAGAGCAACTGAGAGAAAATTCAGCCCTGCAATGGCCAGGAGGGCTGTCTTACACAACAAGCTATCAGACAGACCCTTTGTGGGGAATATCTTTTTCAGAATGTAGGTGACATTTCCCTATGCATTAACATGAACAAGACTTTTTTTTGGTCCAATTCCATTGTGAAGTTATTAAATTGCATTTAGATTTGTACTTTGGCTGGAGAAACTGTTAAAATATAATGTAAATAATCCTTTACTTTGCTGGCTCAATTAAAATGTAAGACAACTTCAGGCATCCAGAATCCCAGAAAGTGCACTTTCTTTCCTTGACATTAGCAGGAAACTCTCCAGTAATTCTTCCCATGGCAGGTTTTACATTTCGGACGAGCCTGCTGCTCTTCTGGTGTGCCCAGCAGGTCTTAGTAAGGTCAGGTGAATTGTTAAGGTTAGCAGTGCACTTTCTTTCCTTAACATTAGCAGGAAACTCTCCAGTAATTCTTCCCATGGCAGGTTAGATTTTGACCCTCAACAATTTATTGGCTTTACATGCAAAGCACATCCAGGTGCTTTTCTTCAAAGCTTAGTGAGGGGGAAAAAACTCTATACATGCTTAGGAAAAGTTAGTTTTACCAGACTAAAAAAGCTAATAAACTCGACTCCTGATTAAGGAATAGTTTTAGGTGCACTTCTGAATATTTAATGTAGACTTCCACTCTTCCAGTAGAGAGCAGTGTA